AGTTTTTATGGCTATCCCCAAAAATTTTAAATTCGAACATTTTCGGCAAGTTAACTGCTCATAAATTTGAAAATTATGCTTATCCCACTCCAGTGAACCGCATAACTCGCGTTTATGTCTTTATTAACGAACCGCAACCGAAAGTTGCCAGGCAGATCCAATAAAAATATTAATGACGACTAATAAAAAGAGTGAGTATAATATTTTCGCCAGCCGGCAGGCAACAAAACGATTAACCCAGAAGGATCCTAACAACTGCGCCCTGTAAAAGCAGGCAAAGAACAAAAAAAAAATATGCAACGAAAATAACAAGAAAATACTTGCTGTTAACGATAACAAATCGCCGACGGTTAACAAGCGGCATTAATTCCCATTCGCCAGGGCATTTATTGGCTAATTAAAGTGGGTGGCTGGTAGTCCTAAAAACCAGCCAGCCCTTTGGCTATCAAGTCAAGGCATAACGATGGCAATTAATAATTTTTGACAATTTACACAACATTGGGCAACGTCTTCTTAGATAAGAAATGAAGACCCCTTTGGGCTCAGAAACCCTTTAGTAATTTGTCCATTTTGCTAATAATTTCATCAAACGAATGTTTTCCCTGTCTTTGTCTTTAAATTTATATTTGCTTTTAACTGCGCAAAAAGAAAAGAGCGTTTTTTCCTCTCTTTTTTTTCTTCCTCTGCAACTGACAACTTCAAGTGCGGTTGGCCTTTTCATGATTTTCCCTTTTTTTCTTTCAAAATAAAACAAAAACCAGCAGCTCCAACCTCGACCGTTCCATCAGTTTGTTTATTCGCTTAACTTGCGTTAAAATAAATCAATTATTTTAATTCACTATGACAACTCGCGTCATTTTCAGGCCAACTTTTTTGCACGCTGCTCTCTTGACATGGGGATAAGGACGCTGAAAGGATGCCACAGAAAAAAAAAACAGGAGAAGGGAATGGTTAGGGAATGTCATGCATAAAATGTCAATAACAGATATGAATACGAATGATTGAAAGTGGCATTAAGGATATATATATTTTAGGGCAAGTAATTGAAGGAGATTTGAATTGATAAAACGAATTTTGGTAAATAAATAAAATTAAATAAATTTAGGATATAAAATACATGAAAATTATCAAGTTCCTATAGTTTTTAGTGCCAAAGATAACCCTTCACATGCCTTGAATAAATTAAATATAAAATGTACAGTACAAAAAACAAGAACTCAAAAACTTTTGGCAGCACTCAAAAATGCGCCTGCCACGCCCCCGTTAAGCCCCTCCAGCACACACACACACACATATAGATCCATAAAATGCCATTTGGCAATTTCAATGTTGTATCCTTTGGCAAACACACCGAGTTCGAGGGAGATGGAGGACTAAAAGCGCCTGGATATATGTATATCCATTTCGCTTTTTGGAGGATTCTTCGCGTGCCATGTTAAGAGCTGCAACAACAATAGTAACAGCCATTGTGTATTACATGCGTGTGAACCAAAACTCAGACAAGAGGATTTCACATTTCCCCCCCTTGGCACACCATTCACCAACCAGCATTTCCCCATTCACAATCAAACACATTCACAATCGCAGAATGGAATTGTTCATTTTCCAACTTTGGCATTGGGTAAGCACTTTTTGTGTTTATTTATTTAAGTGTTATTTCGTTTTACTTTCTATATGGATGTGTGTGGTGTATCTCTGAATGTGTCTGTGAAAATTGAGTTATAAACAAGTTTTTTGAAAATTGTTTAAATGGAAAGAACAGATTGAATTTCCTCCTGTCGACGAGGGCGTGGGCCACTTGAGCTTATGTCAAGTGGAAAATCGTTTTGTTGTAAATGCTGGCGCTCGTGTGCGTGTGCACTATGAATATATTTTGGATCATCTTGATTTATTTATATATGCAAATCGCCTAATGTCCTCCGAAGGGGTTTTCCCGCTTTTCCCTCTGGGATATCGCTCTACTTTAAAGTCGCCTAATTCTGTTAGGAAAGTGTGGGTAACTTTTGATTGGCTGTTTCCTTAGCTTCACTTATCCTTGTTTCCACTTGAATTGTGTCTTGGTTTCGATTTCTTTTATTGGCTTCATCATTTTGATTTGCGATAGCTGTAGATGAGGTAATAAAAACCAAATGTTGCTCTGGAAAAAAGGAAGGTATCTTTCTGGAACTTCATTCTTACCTACATTATCCTACATTGTACACCTTCTCCTATGCAGAATTATTCAAAAATTTCAAATTTTTCCTTTTGAAACTAAAGGTTTATCTATTTCTTTCTGCTTAAAGTGAAAGCCCAGAGAGAAGTTTAGAAACCATAAAATAATTGCCACCATAGAGATATTTACCCTCCTCTATTTTCCAAGCAACTCTTTGAAAGCATTTTGCAGATTGCGTTCAAGAGAAGCCCTTGCACTGATAAGCTGGAAAATGAAACGAGCTGATATCTTTTCAGCATACCCATCCCCAGCTCTCTCTCCCTGAAATTGGCATTGTTCTGGCTGCAAGTTCAGCACTTGGTTGCCACAATTTATGCATTTTCCATGGCATTAACGTTGAAAGGCGTCGCAAATGAAATGCCATTCAAAAGGCTTTTGCCTTCTCAGTTTGGTTCGGCTGCTGTTGTCTGGTTAGTTGGGTTACCTGGTTAGCAAACCACCCCCACCCGCATCACCCCCCTTCCAAAAAGGTCACGCAAATTAGTGCAACAACAAGTAAGAAGAACTCGCAGCAACGGAAAAGTTTCCTGAACAGGATAACTGCCAACTCTGGACGCAGACTCCATCTCGATGCTGGTTGTAATCCTGGCTGTGGGAAAACTTGTAAAAGTAACTAGATAACGCAGCAACCAACAAACTAAGTAGTTCTCAAAAGGGGGGTAAAATGCAGGTGAGCGGGAACCTCTAATAAAAACCCCAAAGGATATTCCTGAAAATTAGGCGGCACCAGCTGAACCAAAGAGTTTGTTGACCTCACTTAAGTTGCGAATCTGATACCTGGTTAACTCATTGAACTCTGATTAGCTGGTTAGTTAAGCCAGTTAAGTATTAGAAATTAAGTTAAAAAGATAATTGCAAAATAATAAAGGCTATTAGAAGATAATTATATCGCAACTCGGTAATTATTGGTAATTATTCGAAATGGTTGGTTAATCTTGTTTAATAGAATAATTTCAAAATAATTCCGGCTTCTCAAATCATAAAAATTTGTTGATAATTAACTAACTAATTGTGCTTTTAAACTATATTCCACACTTTAAGAATATTATATCCAAGCCCACTTTAGTCCCCCATTTCTGATAGGCCTTTCTACCAAAAAAAAAGAAAACCAAACACTAGATTAAACCTTTTCATTTCCCAACTAATTGCTTAAATATTAATAACATTTTTCGGAAATCTCAGCCGCATGTCACAAACATCGTCGAATGCCTCATGCCATGCGCTGAAATAATTAATAAGCTAATTAATCTATAATAATGTCAAATAATGAGCCAATATTTGAGCAAATATTGGTCCAGGAAAAGCGGCTGCGAGGATGGAAAATGTTGGCGATGTTGGCGGTGACAGGAAAGCGGGGAAACTCGCTCTGTGTGTTTGTGTGTGTCAGCTCATTGAAATGCCATCATTATCGTGCTCATCATCGTTTTACATGGCAAGTGCCTCATGGTTGCATGCCGCAAACGCTGCCGCTTCATTATCCTTATTACTCCTTTCGCTACAGTTCCCCAATCTGGCCATCTCGCTCGGCACATGTGTGCGTGCACTGAGGAAAAAAACATGACAGTTTCATGACAGATTTTTTCACAATTTTTGGGATATCATGTTGACTTATTAAGAGAGGTAATTATTATAAATTCATTATAAATCACTTTTTTTTATTAAATTTAATATAAAAAAATGTTTATAGATGAAAATTTCTGAAAGAAAAAAGTTTGTTATTAATATGATTCGACTTTTATGAAAGATATCGTTGAAAGGTCTCACAGACAGGTGTCATTTTCATCTCACAATTTAATTAAAGTTTTTTCTAAATTTACCATAATATTTTAGAAATATTTTCACTGTGCAGCTATCTTATTCTGCGCTGGCGGGTTATTGTTTCCATTTTGATTTATGTCTGGCATCCTTGGGATCCTCTTGGCCTCGTCTACTATTTTAACGTTGTTAACCAAATTGCATAAATTAAGTGCGTTCGCTTGCTTGAGTGGCTCTGGTTCTGGTTCTCGTCCTCTGCTCCTGTTGCTCCTTCTCCTCTATCTACCAGTCTCCTATATAACCATTCTGAGTCCTGGCTTCAAGGCGCCCACGTCCTTCATCCTGGACTGCATTTGTGTTGCTAATGTGCGCACATTAGACGCACATGTTGCCAACTCCTGAATGGTGTTTGCTTATTTTTTCTGCTTTCCTCACAGTTTTTTTCACTTCGACATGGGGAAATCATGGAAAGCAGCTGGAATATTTTATAATTGGCATGTAAATGCATCAGCTTATGTAATCCTTTGGCAGCCATAATGAAATGTTTTTATGCACATTTTTTTTTGCAGCTTTGCCTTGGCTTTTGGCCGAACGAAGTCATGTGTGCAAGGCTAAAAGTCATTAAGATTAAGTTTGAACTAATTGTTTTAACATTAATGAACTCATTAAACCGTATAACTTGTTAAAGCTTATGGTTTTAACTATGAAAATAATCAGCAGGAGAATTATTTTTATAAATAAGTCTCCTTGTGGAATGTTTTGAATCGACTAAAGTTTAAACTATAGGTAGTTGGAAAATGTAACCCACTGCGTGTCTATAATTCTTTGATAGTTATTGTTATAAACGAATATCAATTGCACTGCAATCAACTAAAATATATGGTAAATATTTGTCCATTTGTTGTTAGAACGATTTGGAGCTCTATAGAAAATTGCCATAATTCCCGCTCAATTATTGTAATAATATTTACTATTGACATAGCAACTATATAAGTGCTGTGTGGTCTAGATTATTCAGTTTTAGAGTTTTGCAATGAAATTGGTTGTATTACATTTGCTATTGCTGGGCTTTGTTTGCCTTGGTCGCGGTCAGGACGACAATGAGGATGTTAGAAGGATAATGAAGGAAATGGAAGTTATCCCTGAAATCTTACAAGAACCTCCAAGGGAGTTACTTAGGGTAAGTAATTTATATTTACTTAACTTTCTGTCATTTTAACTTAATGAAATATCAGATCAAATTCGACAACACCTTCGACATTGAGGAGGGCAAGTCCTATACCCCAACGGAACTGAAATTCCAGCCCAGACTAGATTGGAATGCAGATCCCGAGTCCTTTTATACCATCGTTATGATCTGTCCCGATGCCCCAAATCGTGAGAATCCCATGTACCGCTCTTGGCTTCACTGGTTGGTGGTCAATGTTCCTGGGCTGGATATTGCAAAGGGTCAACCCATATCGGAATATTTTGGTCCTCTGCCACCAAAGGATAGTGGTGTCCAGCGTTATCTTATTCTAGTGTACCAGCAATCGGATAAACTGGACTTCGATGAGAAGAAAATCGAACTGAGCAATGCCGATGGTCATAGCAATTTCGATGTGATGAAGTTTGTTCAGAAATACGAAATGGGAAATCCAGTGGCGGGAAATATATTCCAATCCAGATGGGATGAGTTCGTGCCGGAGTTGATGAAGACGCTCTATGGTGTCAATGAGTGAGGTTCCCAATGCGGTTCTTAAGGGGTTAATATGTTCCTTGGTTGAGTTTTAAGCTTTATGTTTATTGTTTATGTTAATTAAAGTGACTTAGCTAGTTATGAGCATTCCAAATAAGGGTAGTTTATGTTTTCCAATACTTCTTTTAAAGTTTTTCCTTAAAGGATATCTTCAATTAAGAGTCAATGATTGCAAAACTGGGCCACTTGAGAGATCAGCCAAGTGCATTGGCATCTCTCAACCTTATTTCCCTCCAACGCTTTGATTGACTTGCTACATTTTCTAAATCCCAGAAGTTCTCAGAAACAACAACAAGAGAAACCGGAACCTCAAGCAGCTTTGCACTTGGCACAAAAACTCACTTAAACTTTGCAATCATGATAGGACGTAATGTTAGATTTCCATTTATATAAACTCGAGCAAGTGTGAAAGGTGCAACTTTCATGGGGCAGAGGTAGACCAGCCTGGGGTGGAAATTTCACCCCCCTAGACTCTTTCCACTTCCACTCCTCCAGTTTCCACTCAAATAGTAACTAAACGCAGTCGAGCACAAAGCGCTTTTTGTGGGCAATGGCAAATAACCTTAAGGTTAAGATTACAAGGTAATTTGATTCAATTCGAGTGATAGGCGTGCCAAGGCAACAACAAACGGCCTAAGATGGAAACGGAGATGAAGACGGTTTTCCACAAAGGGGGGAGGGGGTTGGGGAAAGCGGAGTACCCGGTGTCGGGCCAATTTCCCCAGTTTCAGTCGGATAGATGACAGTGTCAAGATAGGAATTGTTGCAGCTTTGCCTTTGCACCCCTCCAGCACCAAAAAATTGTACCCTCTTTCACTTTTTTGTCTTGCTTTCCTTCAATGGAATTTCTTTTGCTTTTCCGGCTTTCTTTTTGTTGGCATTTCTGTTTATCAGTTTGTGTATAAATTTGCCTTTATTTTGACATATTTAGTGGCGGTTCCAAGACAATTGTCTCGCCGATAAAACGCCCAAAGATCTAGCTCCGATTTTCTTGTTACTCCATTAAAAGGGCATATGAAAAGGGCGAAAGTAGCCACAATATCAGACCAGAATAATTGGATTTAGTTAGGTATAAGGGAGTATATTATTACTATATAAATAAATGGCTTAGTCTCTGCTAAAGGGAGTTCTTAACTTACTTTCTTTTTAAGATGCTAAGATAAAAATTCATATAAAATGTATTTAATAGTTTAAGAGTAAGTTCCTTAGCTTAATAAAGCTTTTGATGACACAATTATTTTTAGAAATTCCAACATCATCGCTGCTGATAAACCTACGATAAATTCGCTTATTCCCACGCCTCATCTTTCCCAGCTTAGCTCTAATTTCATGCTCGCCTGATCTCACTATTATATAAGAAACTGTGTTTTTTTTTTGCACACCAAAGCTGCCAACGGGCGTATGAGTAATCTGGCCAGGCTATGTCCCAAATCCCATGGCCTCTCCTCTTTCCACGGCTTTCCTCCATTTCATCCTTTGGATTTTTTTGCGGAAAAAGTTTTCTTCTTATTATTTATCCCATGTGACAAATTTGGTGCACAAGATTTTTGCCTCGCATAATAAATTATGCGTTGCAGTTGGAAAAGTGAAAAAAAAAATTGCTTAAAATTAATTTATAAAAAGAAGAAAATGAGAAGAGTTGAAAGTTTTCCATCGTTCGGCGGAATATGAAAGTTTTCCGTGCACGTTTTAATTTAATAATCGCCGTCTGGAGTCGTTAAGTTGGGGCAAAGTTTTTCTGGGTAGTTTACCGGATTTGACATTACACTTAATCGCTCAAAAATGCTTTTAATTGGAGCGTTGTTTGCCTGAATAAATCATGTAATAAATAAACAAGGCGGCACACTTGTTGGCCATGCATTATTTATGCCCCGAATCAATAACTGTGACACTTTGGCTAGCATTTCCCATGCATGGCAATGACTGATGCAGATGAGCAGGACCTAGGCGGACAGGATATGAACCAGGACGAGGGGACCAGCCTGGGAGGTTCAAAATGTCCAGGCCTGCAAACGGCAGCCTGGCTCCTGTCACACAGTTAAAATGTGATAAATTCCATTAAGTGACAGGGAAACGCACACGAAATGCAAACGCAAACTGTATTTGTGTTTAGAGATGGCCAATATCGTCGGCATAAGGCCATAAATTATGACGATTTATATAAGATTGATTGATGGTTTTCACATTTTTAGATTTAATTAATATTTGGAAAATAATATACAAGGTCTATTATCAGTTTATTAATAAATTATTTTAAAACAAACATCTATTTTGACTTGGAATATATCCGAACTAAATGATACTTAATCTGAGATGTTTTAAAATTAAATATTTTAGTTAAGTTATTGACAGATTTTTGAGATTTAGATTTCACACCTTCTGCTTATTATTTACTTAAATTTGCAAATTTCCTTTGCCTTTGGCATCTCTAGTTTGTAGACCCTCCACATAGAAATGTTCTGAATGGACAAGCAAGAAATCCATTTTGTGTGTGGCGCCAAATCTAAATGTATCAGCCAGGAGCAGTCACACACACACACACACACACTATACAGCATGCTTACCCACACATATATGAACTGTAAACATCAAGCTGAAAGTTGCATGTTGCACATTGAAAGCCAAAACTGACACCAGCAGACATTTAGTACGCATCGCATATTGAAATTGTAATTTGATTTCTGCCTTTTGCCACCAACTGTCCAACTTTCCATTTGGCTATCTCTCTCTCTCTGTTGTATGTCTTGTTCGCTCCCTCACTCACTCTCTGTCTAAATTTTGTATTCCCCGATTGAGTGGTATTTCTATAGCAGTTTGCATGCCCAAGAGGTCCTTGCCCTGCGACCTGACAGTTGCGTATTTTGCAACTGAATAAACGCCATTGGAGCTCAAGGACTAGAACTGGGTCAAGCCAAAATAAAAGGGGTGAGAGATTGAAAGGGACTAAAATATGAAATTTTATTTAGACAAAAATGTACAGTGGGTATACAAATTAATTTTCTTAATTGGTCAGGAAAAGAAAAATGTTTTTTTAATAAAGAAACCCTTTGAAGGTAAGTTTTCAGATTTTTTTAATATTTGGGCATTAAATATGGTAAAACTTGCATTTTGTTTTAAAAATTATAAATAAAAGAGCTTACTAGTCAGCTCTTTAGCACATATTGTATAGAAACAATACCTGGAAAAACGGGCTTATCTCACTTCAGCACACCTGAGCAAATTTCTGGCACCTGACTCCTATCAAGCCCTCCCACTCCAATGTGGCAGCCTGGTGGCCCTCTGTGTGCTGACAAAGCCTCTTGGGGCACTTAAATCATTATTTAATTTGAATTTAAAATGCAGCAAGGAATTTTCCACGGCTGTCGCTGTTTGTCGTCTGAAACAAAGCGCGGACAAATAAATAAAATAAAATGGCAAACTCATTACAAGGACTGGACTGCAGCGACGATGATGTTGATGTTAATGATGATGATGATGATGACGATGATGTGGCAACAAGTCGGAGTCGGGCATCACTTTCAACAATGCCCCATGCACACGCACTCACACACAGTGGGAGCGAAAAAAAAGTGGCCAACAAAGGCACAATGGCGCAGAGGACCCATACTGCCCACTTTTGAGCTCTCCCACTTGGCTGCCTGCATTGTTGGTTTTCAGTTTAAGTTTGGTACGGGGTGCGGGGGCACAGGAAAAGCGGGGAAAGGAAACAACGCCAGCGGCATCTGGGGCATTGATGCCAGGTGACAGACGGCAAAATGCAGGCGCGTCCTTCTGTGAGCCACTGTGTGTGTGTGTGTGTGTGCAATTTTCAGCCTGCATATGCCGCCGTTTTCCAGCTAATTGCCGGCTATTTACATTTTAAATCGCAAGAAACTTTAAAACCAACTTGGCCACAAATGCAACTAAGTTTTGATGGCTGGTTAAAAAGTTTCAGTCATGTTAAATAGTTAATATGTTCTAAGATTTAATTAAAAATATTTTATGTGGGCATAAAAACGGTAACTACTATTGATTTCAGTTTGAATTATAGAATATAAGAAGAAGTGAAAATATTAAAACAAAATATTTCCATAACTTAAATTTTGCAATCTCTTGAATACCAAATGTGGTTTCGTCATATTCGAGTTTCTGGCACTTGAAATATGTCAATCCTTTGTCGTTTCTGTGGCTTACCTCACTGCAAGTGACAAGTTGGGTAAAGAAACGACAAATATTTTGCCGTCAATTCCGTTGAGGGGTTGGGCTCTAGTCGACCTGCTTAGATATTCAAGAAGCAAGAAAACGCCTCTCATTTTTATTTTACACGGTAGCAGGAGAAAAAGTATACTTGTTTTTGAGGAATTTCAAGTATTCTGGATTAATACCAAAACATTTCAAGCAGTATTTTTTGGCTATAAATATACTTTAATCGAAATATCGGGAATATAATGTCATCACATACCTCAGGGTGATAAACTTTAACTTGTGTCAACTTTTTAGAAGTGAACATATCAAGGAGTCAGATTTACAAAAATTTTAATCGGAAAGAAACTGAAGTTGAACTAAAGAACTGACAATGTCATTTGATGAAGCAGAACACAATCCAATGAGCTGTAGCGTTGCCATCAAACGCATCCGGAAGGAGCTGGTCGAGATATTGAAGGATCCACCGCCCAACTGCAGTGCTGGTATCAAGTCGAACAACCTATTCGAGTGGACTTCAACGATAATCGGTCCCACGGACTCTGCTTATGAGGGCGGAGTTTTCCACCTTGACGTATACTTTCCCAGGGATTATCCTTTCAATCCACCGAAAGTCTTCTTTCGCACACCCATCTACCATTGCAATATCCATCGTCTGGGCTTCATCTGCATGGACATATTAAGCGAAAGCTGGTCGCCAGCATTGTCCATATCGAAGGTATTGCTCTCAATTTGTTCTCTACTCACCGATTGTAATCCCAATGATCCGCTGGTGGTGAGTATTGCCAAAGAGTATCTCAAAGACCGTGAGAAACATGATAGCAATGCACGTATGTGGACTGACAAGTGAGTTTGAAAGTATGTTATTCTTATTACATAAAAATACTTTCTTCTATTTCAGGTTCGCAAAACGTGATAATTGAAAATGTATTACACTTCCCAAAAAGAAACCAGCCATCACTTAAAATATACATGAATCTTTGACAATTACATTTTAAAAATAAACCATCTACCCATCCCCGTCGAGTCACCCGCCAATACCTCTTGTACTTATTTTTACCTTCTTTTTTTTATTGACAACTTTGGAAATTGTTTATGCCCCAATTGGGGAACTTCGACCACGCCCACACACCTACACCCATTGTGGTAATACTTTTGAGTGGTCGACCGATGGCGTTGCCAACGAATTTCCGCCAGGGCCAAAACAAAAATTCGATAGAGAATGAAAATGTTTTTTTGACATCAACTTCGTGATTTTCATGCGAAAGTATACACTTTATATATATATTTTGCAAAAACAAAGGAAAAGGAAGGCCAACATAGGGGGGGGAAATAGGTGCTCTACTCTGTTGCATATCGATTTGAAAATTACATGGCAGAAAGTTCAGCCAAAGGAAGCAAGAAATTAGCACAGGCCACGTCGCTGCCAGAAACTGTCAAGTGTTGCATACTTTTTCGGGCAATTTAAGAGGACCAAAAACGAGGATTCCTGGGAAAAGCAACAGCAAAGTGGAACACATTTGCATAAAACTGAAGTTGGAGAAGGACAAACATTAGCCCAAGTCAGATAGCGAAAGCCACTGAAGATAGGATGGGAACTCTGGGAGTTGGAAGTTGGAAGCCAACGAAAGCCAAACAAAATTCTTTTACCGCTCTTTTATTTTTACGATGGGTAAACCTTTTTGGCAACCAACCCCTTTTTTTGGCCAACTGAAAAACCGTAGGATAACAAGTCAAATATGCTGCCAAAGTTATTGATGGCACACGCACCAAAACAAATTTGCTTAAATCTGTTTAATGTTTTCCCATTTTTTGTGCCGCCCTTAACTGGTTTCCCCTGCTTCCGCTTTCGATTTTCTCTCGTTTTTTTTTTTATATTTATAAATATGTTTTTCTTCAAACAATTTGTTTAAAATTGTTGTATTTTTTTTTGGCTATTTTTCTGATTGGCTGCATAGATCATTTTGATGAGGGTGTAGCAACTGGTTTGGCTCTGATAAGTTGAAAGATTCAGTGGAATATTTGTCTACATATTTGGGGAAAAGTTAAAACAGGAAAGCATTTTATTTAGGCCATTCAACCCTTTGTATCATCAACTTAGTCTCCATCCTTACTAATCCTCATTAAAACTTCATCAAGATTTTTCACTCATCATTTCAAAATTCCCTTTAATTAGGAATGCCAAAAGAGAAACGATGAAGTTTTTCATCTTAAAACAAGGAAAGATAAGTCAAATTACCACAAGAAAAGGTTAAGAACATTAAGTACTGTTTAATAATAATAATAAAATATAGATAATAATTAAAAAGACTTCTTTCTAGATTACTCTTCTTCTAGATTCTTTAAAATGTTTAATACTTTTTGTACCCCTTTAATCCTCCACATAATAATGAAATAAAGATACCCCTGCTACCCTTTAAACTGGCAAGTACAAAAACGGGTGAAAATCCCCAGCACACATTTGCAGCGTAATCAACAAAAGCACTAATTGCATAGAAGACACGCTCTGACATTGATGTCTGATGTGCTTAAGTGGAAACGAGAGGGGTGCGCTATATGGATATCTCTGTCTGGCTGCCTGCAATTTCATTTCATTTGCGCTTCATGTGCAGCGGTATTAACGTTACAGTTGCCATTTACCTTTGCCAACGAGGGCGCTGATGACGCTAAGCTGTCTGCATGCGTAGACACAGCTACCCCAGCTCATTTTCCAACCATTTTCCAGCAGCTCCAACCGCCACCCACAACTCATTCTCCCAATTTTACCGACCGTCCCCCTACGTTTTGGCAGTCGCACAACTTCATTAACGCAGAGTAAACACACGCATGCAGTTTTCGAGCTGAAGCCGGTGGCAAAGTGTTTGATGTTGTTGCCTTTCCTAGGGCAGTTTAAAGTTACATTTTAGGTGGATCTTCCATCTGGAAATTGGGAAAGAGGGCGGCTAGTCAGATAGTGGGTATGGCACTCAGACATTCCCGAATGTTCAGCGTATTTGCTGAGGTGAGTATGTTTGGTCTGGAAGAAAGGGGGAGCTCTAAAGGCTTTAAGTCAAACAAAGTCAAAAATTTAATCTGCTTGAGAGTTTTATAAACTAAACTGCTTAATTCATTTTTTAAAAAATCTTACAAAAATGTTAAAAATCTTAAAAGAATACAAATTTATTCTTAAACAACTTTGGAAAGTGTCGTTTTTCTGGGACCCTTTTCTTACTTACCTTCAGCCATAAATTACTTAGAAAATTGTTTACCAAATAAAAACACAAATCAATTGAATACTCAACAATATAATTTTGCAGTTAAATGTTATTGACGATACCTTTCTTCCACCATCCTTTTAAATGCCTGCAAATTAACATGATTTAAATAATTAAATATAATTTGATGTGCTTTTCCATCTGAGACGTTCTTTCCACGCATTTTTCTCCCACCCTTACCTTTCATATTATTTAGACCTGGCCCAAAGTCCATTAACAAAGCATAACGATGTGTCATGTGGCAAACACACTCACACACATATAAACACTTGCATAACCGCAAATATCGCACTTGGTTTTGGCGCTTTCTCCGTCTGCTTTCTCTGTGGGTCTTTGTTGTTATTCATATTTATGAGGCTACGTGTGTGAGTGCCTCCTTAACAAGCCTAACGAACTGCCAAATTACGCTGAAATAGCATTAAAAATTTAAATTTTTTCCCAGCCTGCTCTTTCTTTTTTTCTTCTGGCTTTGTGAACCGTCAAAAGCGAAAACGCCAACAAGTCCTTAATGACGTTAAAAAGAAAGCGATTTACTGTTGGTGTCTGCGGGTTCGTGTGAAAAAATATTTTTCAGCTTTTGGGAAATTTTAGATGTCTTTTGATAAGGAATTATATGAATGAAAGAAAGATGGGAACTTAAGGCAGATTTTCCAAGTATTTAAAAGAAAAGAAAGCTCAAATATGAATTTCTTTGCTTCACATAGAATGTTTTTTGTAATTTGTATTAACTTTTTGTTTCTACAAAATGTCTCTTCTAGCCAATTCCTGTAAATTCCTCTAGTAACCCACTAAATGCAAATATATGTTCCCATTTACTCTAGTTTGTGGCTGTGTCACTTGGCAATCGAATGTGAAATCCCCCAACAAGCTGCAGATGTAGCCAAGATATGTTAAAAATCCCACAAAATAGTTTAAAAAAAAGCCAAGCTACAGAGGAACTAAAGTTGGCCCAACTTGCGATAGGAAAGTTTTTAATCTGCCGCATGCAAAACTTTAATCGAAAAGCTGCCAGCATTGAGAAAACTAAGTCAAACTTTTCAAATTGAAATATCAACATGCAAAAAAAAAAAGAAAATATAGCTGTGAGAGCGAAGGCAGATAAGAAAATAAGAAAAATTCGATTCGTATGTTTTGTCGTCACATGCCAATTGCGTGTTTGGAGTGCATGCAGAAATTTAAGCCGAAAACTTTGATCGTCTGCCTCTGTGACAGAGACAAATGTGAAAGTTTTCCTCGATGCACTCGAAAAGTAGTCGGAAAAGCAGTTTGTAAAGAATGCAAAGGGCATGCAAACAATGGCTTGTGACGGCATTTTCCCTTCTATTTCGAGGGCGGTGCATTTTCGCCACTTGAACTTGTTAACTTTTCTCTCCGGCAATGTAATGAAAACAATAAATATTCCTAATGGAAAGGCAAATAGATTTTTTTCTGGTTATTGAAAATGGGATTTCCATTTTTTATTTGCAATAAAAACCAATGCCAAATGGCATATATATTTCCATGATTTTTTTTTTTGTTTACGTAACCTATAAAAGCATTTCAGAATGGCAAAGTAAATATTGGCAACAATAAAGCCTGGTTAAATAAATACATTTTAGCAAACATCACCTATGGTAAGTAGGACAATAAACTAATTTCTAAAGCTCAAAAATCCATTTTAAAATCTATTTTAATAATTAGCTTTTGTTCTTAGATATTATATTTGAATTTAGTTTCAGTAAGAGCTGCTCCAACGCTAAAACTCATACAATTTTACAGGCTTTTTTAATTAACCAAATATGTTTGTACGGCAGCAGGCAGCACAATTACACTTTTGCCCAAACAAGGCTACAAAAATAAAGAGCGGAATATGTAAATATGGCAGGCAAAATTAATTTGCCCAATGCAAATATGCAGAATGTGAAAATGCTTTCCCTTCTTTCCACTTGCCTCCTCTGTATGTGGCAGTGTCATAAATTTCTGGAGTTGGAGTAGAAAACCCCCGAAAAACCATAAAGGCAAATAACCTAAAAAATTTCGCTGACGTTTACGAGTTGAGAGGCGAATTTAAGCTCTCTGCAAACGCACCCACAATTGAAATGCAAGTCATGAGTTAACCCAAAACGAGCCAAAGCTCTACCAAAACTCCGTTTTCTCTTGGCAGTTTGCAAGATATTTCACCTGCTTTTGGCCACGGCCACCCACAACAACTTTAGCAGCTTTCATATGCCCTGCTAATATGGCTGGGTTTTGGTCCATGTCGGGTAGCTATATGACTCTGCCAGCTACTGCTGACTGCAGTTAGTTACCCAGCGGGCGACATTGCAAACAAGAAGCTCATTTTCGAGGACTCCAAGGTAACCCAGTGAACATTTTCAGTACGAAATTTTTCAACAGGTAAAAGGTTATGGGAGAAAATCAAATGATAACTTGTATAGACTTATAGGAAAACTGAAAGGAAAACCATTTTGTTATCGTACTTTTTACTTATTATTATCATTTGCAAGAGGTGTATTATATTATACACCCAACTTTGTTTGCTGGGTTGCCAGTTGCATGTGCAAGGAAAGGAGTTTGGAACGGGACAAGACCGTGCTCATTATGCATAAATTCTAGCTGCGAAACTGCGCTGCGCTTCTGCACTGAATTATGGGAAAGTTAATGGTATTATAATGCCAAAACGCTGACATCTGCCATAGCCAAGTGGATAGTGCTATCCCTACAAATTTCAAGTTGGCCAAGGGCAAGTTTGCTGTAATTCTGTTGCAGGTTCGAATGTCTTTTTAAAGCACAAAGATGGCAGACTTGTTGGATGACTTGTTGCCCCAAAGGCAAAGACATACATGGGGAGTGAGCAAATGACCCTCGTTTGTTGTCCTCTGTCGCATACATGGGTCAACCATGTCAGCTTTGGACACACATACATTGGCACGCAGACTCAGACAAACACCTTTCAGACCCAGACCCTGAGCTTTTTAGCCATAATCTTTCTTTTTTATCGCGAGTCTGGAGTCGCAGGACATGGATTTAAGGCTGCACTAAGGAAAAAGTATAAACTTTTGATGTTTCTTTGGCAAATACTAAATTATAGTATAAATGAGAAATTAACTACAAGCTAAGCAGTTAACATAGCTTAAACTAGTAGCTAAAAATCTTGCATTTTCAAAGAAAAGAATGATAAGTTTCTAGCAGTGTACAACCACAACAAGATTGGTGGTTGTCCTCGTTCAGCGCCATCGACTTGGTAACTCGCTGTGTTTTTTCCTATATGTACTATATATATATCTGGTTATACTTCCTGCGACCGCCGCTTGCCGCCACCGCAAACTTGCGGCACTGAGCCCTGTTCTCACTTCCGGTTTCCTGTTTGCCCTTCACCAGCACCATAACCATCGCCTTGGCTAGTTCGGTTACCGTAACCGTTGCCGTTAACTTGTTTTGATTTTTTAATGGCTCGCCTGACGACAGCCAACAGAGCATTTAAGCCTTCATAACTCTTATCTGTAAACCAGAAACTTAAACAGGTCGAATGAGAAAGTTGAGATTTTTAACAGAAACTCTCGTATTCACACTCTAGTTGTGTGAAAAATGTATATATTTCTTGAGAGTTACTTCTGTCAAAGAAGGGAAGGGTCTGAGTCTGGGCTTTTGTCATGCAAATTGTTCAACAAGCAAGGCGGGATGTTGACGGTGACGTTGATTGCTCATGAAGTAAAATTAAAAGCAAACAACAGAAGGACTCTTTCGGTGGTGTCCCTAGATGCTCTTTCAGTACTCTAGGGATAAGGGAAAATATCTTAAAAATGGTAAAGGTAAGATTAAATGATAAGACAATTCTGTAAATCAAACTAGATTGCTATTGGTGAACGTATTTCAAAATTATTGAATAAATTGGTAAGACATTAGGGCTTAAAAAACATGCTTTCTTATCAAATCTTATCAAATAAAGATCCAAAAAAGATATCCCCAATCTAAAGTTCTTACACCTATCCCGCTAAGTATGGGATATTCCCCAAATCCAGGTAGAGCTTAACGCGGCATGGCTTACCTTCCAGCCCATTTCCCCATTACCTCCATTAACCATTTTCATGTTGTTCGCATGCAACTTGAGTAAAAAACAAAAGAGCTGCCAACAGGCAACAAAAGCCACCGAGGAGCGGGAAAGTGGTAAAAGAAATACAGTTGACGTTAAAGGGGAAGCGCACACAAGTCAAGTCAGAAAACTTTTGTTCCTTGGCATTGTTGCTTTTGTTATTATTATTGTTGCTATTGTTGTTATTGTTGTTGCCACTGTGTTGCTGTATTGGTGTAATTGCTGCTGGAGAAGGAGAAGGCGGCGCCCATGTTGAGAGTCCTGTGCAGAGTCGTCGATTTTAATTACGTATGCAATTTATTTATTACCTTTGCCGGGAAATATTGTGCAATTGTGTGGCTCTTGCTCTTGTTCTTGTTCTTGCTCTTGCACGGATGTGGCACAAAGCCCAGGCAGGAAAGAAAGGGGGCATGGCAGGACAGAAAAGATTTAACATGCGGTTATGAAGTTACTTTTCATTTTCTCAATTGAGTCCTGTCAGAAAATTCAGAGCAGGCATAAAATGATTTAAGTCGGAAGAACAACTCGTTGGGTAGTTAATAAGGGAAGTTACTTTCAGGTGTCTTAAAGAGCTAAAAAATAAAATATAACTTAATACAGTATACGATCATAAACAACTTTCCAGCCACAAACCCTTCCCAATTCACCTTCAAAATTATTTCTAATTTCCGGACTTCTAAAACCTCGAATTATCTCTGATTAATGATTTGGCTAAATGTGAATTATGTTAGCCCAGCGGAAGTAGCAAAAATCCTTCATTCAAACCAAGGCAAACCTACAATAAATTAGATTACCAAAGCTCAGGAAAAAAGGCAACTAGCATAACCGTGACCATAGGCATGGCGTGTGTCCAATAAATTAGCGTTTTCATTAGGAAAAACAAGCGAAATTTGTTCACAATGTTGTCGTTGCTCGGACACAAGAACAGTGTATATATAGTACCTCGAACCTATTCCAAATTGGTTGCATTACTTGATTAGTGTCCGCGCAATGCTGTTATTAAAATTCAATCTAAAATTTTCCCTCCCCTTAGCCTAAGTAGTTGAAATCTCGTGAGCTGATTGCATGTCTAATCGAATTTAACAACCTTTTTGCAGTGCGGATGGCCGTGGGATGTGGGCAAAGGAGCAGCGAGGAAATTAACGAATTTCATATTAAGTGCAAATTCCGGCCTCCGACTCTTGTCATGCGATTGTGATTTGAAGTTGCTCAGAGCTAAGAGTCGTTAAGCTTTTCCTTCCCCTACAATGCCATTTGCATGTTGATCACGTGACTAGAATGGCCTGGGAAAGCCCTCTATTTGGGGCTTAACTAGAAACTAAAAACACTTTTGGATTTATGAAAATGTGATCTTATTTCTTACTAGTACGAACATTTTATTTTAGAGTTGCGAATTTACTTTCTTTTTAAAACATCTTGATATTGATTACTTTTTAAGAGGTTTTCTCATCTATTTATAAAATTTGTACTAAAGTAATTACATTTTTATTACATTTTAATAACTTATTAAGAGATCATAAACAAAGTTATTCAAGTTAATGACACATATACATTAACTATAGCGCGATTAATATCTTAGGCCATCCAGTTAGAATGAAACATGAAGTCTCCACGTGGATGATGACCGATGAAGTTTACAGGAAGCAGTAAAGCAAAAGCAAGGAGGATATCAGTTTTGACTCTAAGATTATATGGTACTTGTACTCATGTCATAAGGAGAAGAATGATTCATATTTGAAAACGATTGAAACAAATTGTGAGCGAACTTAATAACTGGATTTGAATTTTAATTTTTTTTAGAAATTTACAAGCATCTACAGTAATATTATAGAGAAAAGGCTTAAAAAACGCTTTTTGCCATATTAATTCCCATAACTATATTGAGCCTAAGCCTAACATTATATATCCCAATTAAATCAATCGCTACTGAACTTTTTGAATATGTCTTGGATTACTTAGAAAATTCAAATTATAACGAAGTTTTGCTTCGACTTGTCCCCGCTTCCCATTTATTTTCGTGTGCTTCTGTGCTGTTTCTTCGCTCTCCAAATCGAGGCGACAGTTTCTGTCGTCAACGTTAGTCTGTGGTGTAAGCGAGATAGAAGGATGCAGGTGGCCGCTTTAAAAGGGAATAGCGGAAAGTTTTTAGACTTTTATGGGGTAGAGTGAAGGAGAGTAAGAAACACACAAGAAAAGGGAAGCCAGCATTGATTGACGACATTCGTCATTGAGAAGTGAAACGAATAGATCATGCCACGCGCCAGAAAACGTTTCTGTTTGAAACAGAAGAAGATAATAATTCAAGTGATTACCCGACAAATACAAACCTTTAAAACTTTTTTTTACTAATTATTCAACTTAATGAGGCATAAACATTAACAGTAGCGCGATTTTTATTGTAGGCGATCCAGTTAGAGTGAAACATAAAGTCACCGCGTGGAACTGGTAGAACTTTTGTTAACTGTATATCGATGAAACTTACAGAAAGTTTTTCCAACATAATATCATGCTGTAACCCAAAAAAAGAGATATCGGATTAGATTCTAAGACTATAAAGTACTCGTACTCACATCATAGGGACAGGAATGGTTCATATTTGAATACGATTGAAACAAATTATGCATAAATTGAAAAATTAGATTCGATTTCGGGTTTCTAAGATATGTATTTGCATGCATCTACAGTAATGTTATAGAGAAAAGGCTTATAGCCATTTAATTTCTGGAATATTTCAACGTTTACCTGAAATATGTACAATTTTATAGTATTAAAAGAATATGCCCATTTGTTAGTACAAACCTTTATTTTGGTAAAGGGAATTTTGAACAATTTCGCTTTTAATGAAAGGTATTTGTATGTGCGATTAACAGACTTCAGAAAGCAATAGTCAAAATTGACAAATTCTGGATCGACGGCGGTGCATTGAATGTTGGTGAACTCCACCTTAGATGAAATCTATAAAATCGTTTAAATTACGAAAAAGTTTTTTTTGGTTAATTCGGAAAGAATATCTTACTTGATTTATTAAGTATAGGAAAATAAAAAGTTGGACTAGACGAATTTGGGAGACCATTTCGACAGCAACGAAGCACAGTTTTTTTGGCAATGTTGAAAAACAAATTTGTTTTTTGGCCATAACAGATTAATCGTTTCAAATAATCAAAAAATAATATGCTCGATCTAATTACACGATATGATACTTTTGTCAGTTTTCATTATTAAATACCTAAAATAAACATTTTTTAACCATTTTTATAATTGTTGTTTCAAAGTAACTACATAATAGGACCAATCAACGTCAACGGTTTTGCCCCAATAATTCCAATAATTATTTCCAAAAAAAGATACATTTGACTTTAACCTCCACATGTTAAAATGTCAGTTTATTGGAAAAAACAAAATTAAACAGAGTAGAAGCCGGATAGATAGAGAAAGCCCCATGGTGCGTTCATATAAACTTCATCAAACTCCTTGCTAAAATGAAACTTAAAGATATTCCTTAGATAACCACCCATAGGGATAGCGGATAGCGGATAGTAGCATTCAGAATGTCGGATCGCAAGGCGGAAATCAAAAATGCGGACATGAGCGAAGATATGCAGCAGGATGCTGTTAACAGTGCCATCAAGGCATTGGATAGGTACAACATTGAGACAGACGTTGCCGCCTACATCAAGAAGGAGTTCGACAGGAAGTACAATCCCACCTGGCACTGCATCGTTGGGCATCATTTCGGATCGTATGTGACCCATGAGACCCGACACTTCATCTACTTCTACATGGCCCAAGTGGCAATTCTGCTCTTCAAGAGCGGCTAAAGAAGCCAACTTTCGGTGGGAGTATAAAGTACATGTTGCAAAATTATCCGTTCCTTGACTTGTAATCTCAACCAAGGCGATGGCTTAACTATTTGTTACTACTTTTTGCCCAAATTCTAAAATATTTTCCCCCTTTACTGACTCATAATCTGATAATAAATAAATTTATTTCGTGCCATTATTATTATTTTATTCATAATTATATATTTTAAAGATACCAATTAAAGTGTAATATTTCCACCTTTGGTGCCAAATTTAACCTTGCATATTTTCTGCTGATTCAGCGCCGGACCTGGGACACATCAGATAATGCTTTTTGGGTTAATTCCTGCATTCATAATGTCCTTGGAGTTCATCAGAAGGCAAACAATGAGAGCACGATTTTCCAGTGGGGGAAATTCTGGATTCAGCATCCAGCCGAGGCATCCACCTGGCTGTGGGCAAATAAAAATTGCTTAATTAAGTTAATTAAAATATTGTCGCTGTCCGTTGTGCTTCCATGTGCTGCTGGCGGCGGTGGCATTTATGCGTTTTTATTATCATAGCGATTGGCCAATTTCGGGCAGGACATCGCTGGGGTAATTATGCCAGCTCACGTCCAGGGCCGCAATAATAATCATAAAAATAATATTAATAAAGTTCGCAAACGGGTGAGGATGTATATTTTGCGAAATACTTTTACACTTGGCCGCCAGAAGCAACATATGAAAATGTTTTTGTCGAGTGGGTGTTTATAGTTGGTTTGAGCCGCTTTCACAGTTCGACGACTTTTGGCCTTGTCCCACCGATTTTCCCAGCCAGCTGGCGTCCGATTCTCTGTTTTCCGAACTCCTGCATCCGCATTTCGATGGGGATCGGTCAGTCAGACAGATTCTCATGCATATTTCATGCCCCGCTTAAATATGACATCGGGATACAGACACCGCCGTCCAAATGTAATGCCACACTTGAAGGCCAAAAGCAGGTCGTTAAAATTTAAGAGCCACGCAATCAGTTTTATGTTCTCTCAGACAAAGCCCTTATTAATATATTTTTCTTTTAACCTCTTTTGGCATCACAAACCCATATATTTTTTATGCATTTTAACATTAAATATAAAGCTGGAACAAATGTCTGGGCTTTGCTTAAATATTGCCGCCCATCTTTTGACCTCCTGCACATCCTTCTCCCTCTTATTTCATTTTTGAAGTGAAGTTTGAACTCTGACCAGCTGCTTCTCTGTTTTCCTCTGAGCCGCTCTGCTTTTACTGGGCTGAATGAGTAATGTTGCTTCCTGCTCCAGGCTGAGTTGAGTTTGCGCAGTCGGAAAAATGAGACTTAGTGGGATTTGGGGAAGTAACGAGAAGATAGATGGCGCCAGCGAGAAGTTCAAGGGGAGTTCTCGTTGAAAGATATATTAGGCATGGAAATCAATCAGTTGATCAAAAAAGAATAAGGTTATGTCCAAATTTTATGTTACTTTATAAAAAACATAATTTCTTTTAATATATTTAAGAACATGAAGTTATATAATAAATATTATTATGACAGGAAAGCATTTAAGTTAATAAAAGCTAATTTTTTAGTATTTTTAACTTAATGAATCGTACTGAAATAAATCCCATTAAATGATCAACAAAGGATAATAGACAAAACATTTTAATTTATTATTATTTATGACCCATTGAGCCAGCAAAGATGAAATAAAAAATCTGCTGGTATATATTTATATATTTTTTTTGCCAACTCACCGCATTGTTTTGTTCCCACATAATTCCAATTTAATCTCGCATAGTACCCCATAGTAGCCCTACCACGGCCCACATCAAGTGACTACAAATGAGCAAAACTCTTGACCTTTTTTTTTTGCCGGGGCCCCGCGGGCGGAAAAAATGAACAAAACTTTTATAAATTACTGTCAGTAGCAGTGACCTCAATATAAAATTGCACAACATAACTTGAACACACACCGATGCACACAGTCTATGGTGGAACAATTGCGAGTGCAATAGATACGAGTACGAGTGTAATTGCATTTTACTTGGACGCCGAGCTAGAAAAACCAAACCGAAAACCAAACCGACCACAGAAACATACGCACATGGATATGTAAACTTTTTTGTGACCTCAGCAGCTATAATTATTGCCATTTTTTGTTCCCTGCTCAGGAACATATATGTATATTCATATACGAGTGAGTATGTAAGCCAGCAAAGCGGGTCAGTCTAAAGTCAACATTAGTTTTATCACAGTCCCAGAGTCGAGAGGAGTGAACATTTTCTCGACAATGACAAAAAATCTTAATGAAACACAAACAAGACAGGAGAGGGTGCAGGGAGGGTGGTGTATAGGACCCAACACACACACACAGCAAGCAAACAATAAAAACCGCACTGTATAAAAAGTCACAGCAAATTTTCATTAAAAACAAAAATAAGTGTTCCGAATTTGTACCAAAAATTAAAATGGCAAAGTTACTTCTGCTGGCGGCAGCGAAGAGGTTTTACTCTGTAAAATAAATAAAGGATATAAAAAAGGGTTAGCAAGAGCTATTAAAAGAACATTTTCCTGAAATAAAATAACAAATTACTGTAGTAAGTATGAGAAGTTACCTATTTAAACTTAAAAATAACTAACTAACTCCTTAAGGGAATATATTTCCATAATAACTTTCCAAAATTTTAATAACTCCTTCATATGAAAATCACATGGGCGTTGTCCCTAAACTTTCATAAACCCCTTTTCGCTGTATAATCGTTCACATAAACTAAAATAATCTCGAAAGAGACAAAACTAAAAGAGAACAAAAGATGAAGAGTTGAGATTGGCTCTGCGAAATAGCGGAAGTTGCTGGCTCCTTCATAGCTTTTGGCCCTTTTTTGGGGCAGTGTGATGAATGAGGCTGCACAAGGAGCCGCAAGGACACATGCAGAAGTCACCCACTTGGGGAGTCGATTTTTCATTTGGCTTACGTATCATCAACCCGAGCTTGTCTCGTGTCGTTTCCCCTCCATTCTTTTTTGGCCACTATCTCCGCCTGACCAATTCCATTGTCGTCAACAAGACTTGCTCCTCTATCCAGGCACTTTTCCTTCCTTCTTCTTAGCACTTCTAAGCTCATCTCTTGGCTTGAACCAGGATTTTAGCTGTCCATCTGAAAACTTCTTTGTTACCATTAGTAGCTTTAAGGCTTTGAATCTTACATAGATGGTTCTAATACACATTATTCTGTTGAAGGAGTGTAAATTGTCAGTGTAAGTATAGAAATTATTTGAGATTTAAAGGTATTATAACTGTCATTAAATATTATATTAAAATAAATATTATATATATAATTGAAATACATTATATTGATCGTTTTAGTACCTTAATTTAATTAATTAAAAAAGAAATCAAAGTTATGTAGTGTTTTCCCCTCAGTTTGTCTATGGATACTCTCTAGAAATTAAACAGATTTTTTATAGAAATAAAAAATCATATCACATGTTTCAAGTACCAAGTATCGCATAGTCCAAAAGACCTATAACTTGTACTTATCAAGCTGCCATTGTATCTTTTTCAGATCTGTGCACTGCTCTTGTAGGTTTTATTTTCGTTATTGTTGCCTGTGATAAATTGTGCGCTTTTCGTTTTGACAGATGTCAGCGTTTGTCTGCCCAATACAAGGCAGAAGGAAGTCTTTTGGGCTTGTCTAGGCTCGGCACACAAATCCTCAGAGGTTATCGCCCTTTTTTCATTTTAATTTTCAATTCCTCTTTTTGCTAACATTAAAGTTTTTTTCCTTAAGAACCTTTAACCACAGCCTGATCTTTGACTTGACCATAGTTTTTGTTACATTTCCGGCCTGTGTGTATGTTATTTTTTGTGCCGTTTGCAGTCAACTTGTTGACATTTTCAGGCCTGTCACACAACTCCAAAGTCCTGCGTCTGAGATCCCGAACCTGTGTCCTGTCAGTCTCCAGGTTGTGAGTCCACAGTCCTGTATCCTCTGCCCCATGTTCGTGTCCGTGTCAGGCGTCACTTTATGCCCCTGACAGGAGCAACAATTTTATTTACTTAATTTGGCTTTAGTTTGTCATTTATTTACTTGTTTGCCGCAACAGCAAAAGCAGTTGGTCAAAGTGTCCACCTCACGGGTCCCAGTTCCACCTCCGATTTCCTGGATAGTCCCATATCTCTAGTCCTCCTAGCGATCTGGCCAGAGTTCTGTTCTTGTCACTTTGACGCTGACGTTGATGTTGTTGCCAAGCTTTTTGATGTTGCTGTTTTTGGTTTTATTGCAGTTCATGGGGGTACATTGTTTTGGGGATCAACTAAGATGGATTCTAAAAATGTTTTTAGTTATTGAAATTTGTAAAAAAAAAAATCCAACAATCAATGAAATATTCATAGACGGAATGTAAGCCTCGCAACTATTTGAATCCCAAAAAGTTTTAAACATATTTCTACTGCTTTTTGGTTTACATAAATTCAACATTGATATTTATTCAAGGTTTCTTTTTTGTTTTCCATTAAAACAGCAATTTTGAGACATATTTTCTTTGAAAATTATTTATTAAATGTTTTCTACTCTACCAGAAAATAGTTTTCTGCGTTTTTATTTAAAAAGTGTATTGATAAAGGGGTTTAAAAAAGGGATTTGAGTTTTATCTTCAACTTCAACTTCATTCCCTTACTGAAAACTACAACATAAGTTTATTTTTATATAATATTTTACATTTTACCTCACCCATTTCCCTTATCAAGTGTATCCCCTATTCGGGTTAAGTGTCCTTTATAGACCCCCATTTGGTTTTATCCGTAACACGGTGACACATTTTCCTGCCCGCACTTTATTGCATATCGTTGTCGGCTGTTGTCGGAGCGTGGCATTGAATTTTTTATGAAAATTTAGAGCAAAGTTGCTTTTTTCTTTGTTTGCCCAATGCTCGATGGTTGTGCTGCCGTTGCACTTTGGTACCTTAATTAAATATTTATTTCAATCATTTTCACCAAATGGATGGTCACCATGGGTAGAGGTACGAAAATCCATTCAAAGCCGAAGTGAGACCTTCGTATAAAATGGGAGGAGGCGTGGCATTGGTGGAGGCCACTAACATTTGTCATTACACATTAATAGCGGACCATTAATCTTTTTCGTGAGCCGAGAGCATGAGGCTCAATGAATGAATGCCTGGCCGGGGTCTGGACCTGAATCTGAACCTGGATCTCTGGACCCGAGTCGTCGTCGTCGTCGTCTGTCGCACAAAACCGTTAATTAATGTATGCCATTTAGCTGGAAAATTGCAAAAGGGACACATACTCACGTACACAAATTGGTTTAAGAGGCAGAGATGTGAGCGTGAAATCGGAAATGGTTTTATATTGAATATATCAACTCACAGTCCTGAAGAAAAATAGTTAAATGCCTTGATTTGATTGAAAACTTCTAACTTGAACTTGATTACCCATTAATATCGCCTTTATTTATATATTTTTGATAATAATATATAACTTTTTTAAACAATATTCCTTGCCCATTACATTGCCACCACTAACACATACGTGTTTTGCCAGCCCATCATAATGAGCGGCAATTTAGTGCCCTTTTGAATGGTGGTGGATATGGTGGGCTGAGCCACTGGACGAGTGGGTGGGTTTCGGGTGGTGCGTCCTCGTTGTCGCCACCACAAACAAGCAAAGGCAAAAGCCGCAGAGGCGGGGATAAGGGTTGGGGACTGGGGATTGCCCAGCAGGTATGCTTGATTAATGCTTTATAACAAGGCTCACACAAAGCGCGCTCTGAATGCACACCCACACGCCCACACAAACCACTGGATGGCGGTCCATCACCCAAACGCCCAGCCCTCGAAGAACCCACCTCCTGTGTACTTGCATTTTAACATTAATTTAGCGGAATGCTGCAAAAGACTATGAAAAGCTTTTCAGCATTCGTCGACACATGTTAATCCGTGTTATTGTAATTGCCAACGTTGGTCTACCCAAAATCCCGAAAACACTGCAAGGTTGGCCATAATGCAGATTCGATAGTCGAGAATTGATGCGATTGGAAAGTAATAATGCGAAATGGATATAAAATTATAAAATTAAGGACATTTTATTTACAATATTTTAAAGGCAAAAGGGAAAACTAATTTTATTTACAAAAAAATCGTCAAAAAGCTAATTACACATCCACAATTCCTCTTTTATTTTCAACTTTCATTCCCTTACACTTTATATCCTTTTGTGATTTCAAAACTTTCCTTAATTTTCTTTAGTTTTCCACTGCAGAGTGCACATTTCTTTCTGCATCTGAGATCCCCCTGCGGCCCTTTGTTAGCTTAATTAAATTAAGACATTAAAAACTCGCAGATCTTGTTTGAGCATCATACTTTTGACGCTCGCGATTATTATTATTTTTCGTCCTCATGGCACTTTCCTTTTTATATGATTTTCTTTTTACTATTTTTTTTTTCCGGATTTTCAGTTCTGCTGAGCTTTTTGCCCTTGAGTGCTTCCTGTGGCGTTCGTTCATTAGGCAAAAGCGGAAGAAAAACCAGGGGAAAAGTTAAAAATAAGGCTAAAAAAAAATGTGTCTAAAGAGTTAAAAGGTTTATTCACTTTGCGCCGTCTGACGTTTGTTAGGGAAACGGGGCGAGGCTAAAACCGACTTTCGGGAGCTGGAGACACATTTTCCGAGTTGAACATTAAGTAATTATAAGTTGCCCAGGAGTTGGATGAAAGTTGCAAGTTGGCATCTGCAACTAGGCAAACATATTGCATGTCTACACCCTTGTAGACAGCCAGTGGCAGACATACACTGGCACACACTGCGTATGCGTAATGTGTTGAATAATTAAATTGTCAAACAATTGGCTTTTGGCAGAGAGTCAGAGGAAAGATGACGACAAGAAAATGCTGAACGTAACCGGGATTTATTGTACGGCAGTGCCTGTGTGAATCCTGCAGAATCCAGAGAATGGAAAACGCTTAATCATCTTTAATTGAAAGCACTTGATGAGCTAGTCAAATCCCAATGAACAACGAACACTGAACAATGGCTGGATTCAAACAATCGGCATTATTTATAATGCCTTTTAATCTCTATCTGAATTTGCATTTTGTTTTTTTTTTTTTTTGTTTTTAGCTATGAGTGTGTGTTGGGAAAATCATTTGGTCGCTGATAGGATTCAATTTCCTTGTCATCATGAAAACGTTTTCAATTAAACTGTATTTATTATTCAGCAGATAAAACAGCAAAACAATTCCCTTTTCAATAGTTAATTATGCCAAGTCGGCTTATCGCTATTCAAAGTTTTAGGGATCAATTTTGGGCTTAAGGAATAGACACCAATTAGAGAGATTTCCCTTAATTGAAATAGATATCATTTAATAAATAAAATATGGATTAAAAATGATTTCTTAACATCTTGGTTTTAATTATTTCAAGCAATATTCCCAAGTTGATTTGCCTCTCTAACCATGGCCTTCCTTTTAAGTGCGAATTGCAAAAGCTTTTAGTCAGATTGCCTGGATTTGTAGCTGGATTGAGGCAATATTTAACCGCAAATATGTTGAGTTGTTAACTGCACATGAATTGGAAAGCAAAAAGAGTCAAAAGCAATCCTCTATTTATGATTTCATTGCTTTGAGTAGTTGTTAAAGTGATTTCGATTCCAGGAACTTAAAAAACAATTCTAACTAAAATCTGCAATTTGTATTTGTTATTTATATAAAAATATTATCTGATTTAATTTATACTATTTCCAAGACAATAAAATCCACCAATTACAATAATTTGCTAAATTTTATCTACGCAGCATCCTCGCCTTCGGTTTCCTCCTCCTCTCCCTCATCGGCCTCCGCATCCTCAGCAGCTTTTCTTCTGGCTTCAGAGCTCCGACGACTTCCTCCAGATTGTTGAGAGCCACGACGACTTGTCTTGGATTTCCTAGGAGGTGGCTCTGTGCAACTGTACGGTGACATATTGAAATCCTCTGGAACGAATTCCTCCAGAGTTTCCAGCCGCAAAGTGGCCAACTCTGACCAACAGCAGGGCAGCTCCTTTTCGGCCAACATTACAACTGGCAGACGGGCATCCGTAGCTGCCTGGACTCCCTTTGGCGTGCCTTCGAAAACCAGGGTACAATCGGGTCCAGCATCGCCCAATCGTGACAAGGCAATGAGGTAAATATCCGGTTCCGGTTTCTGGGCCTTTAATTCCGGATCATCTGCACAAACCACCGTTGTGAAGTTGTCAAAGAAGTCTTCCCTATCACGGATTTTAGTGCAATACATTGACTCCGGGCACGAGGTTATCAGTCCCAATCCCATGCAGCATTTACGCATATGAGTCACCAATCTCTCGACACCAGGCATTAGGGTTGGATTGGCAATCAAATCGGAGGTGCGTTCATTAAGCTGAAACCGAAAAGTCTCCCAACTAACAGGAAGATCACACTTTCGGCAGACCAACTCCGCCATCTCAGCCGTTTCCATTGGTCCACATTGGATCAGAACCAGTTCGGGTATTACTCTATTATAGCTGGAAGCCAGCTCAATTAGGGCCCTCTTGTAGACGTGACGGGTGTCTGTTTAAGGAATCTAGGATAAAATAAATCTTTTGGATTAGGAAAGACTATCTCACCAAACACGGCACTCTCAAGATCAAAAATGCAGTAGCTAATCCCTGGGCTGCAGCACGAGGGTGGACATCGCTTACATCCTGGTGGAACCTTGCAAGTCTTACAGCTCGGACTGCACATTTTTAATAAAAATTTTCAAAATTTTAGATTTATATTTTACGAACTTTGGCCTAATACTGACATTTGGTACAAAGAAAACAAAGTTATATATTTATTTTAGCCAGGATAGCATGATAGAACTTGCTGGTTCTGCAAGTACTACTAGAGGTCGTCCTTCTATTAGGTCCTTCCCATTATCACCACCTTGAATTTCATATAACTAACTAAATATTTAATAAATCAAATTTATTTCAATACAAAGCTTAACCACCAGAAAACACATATATCTTACAAAGGTGGCAGACCAAAATATTGCGGCTTAAAGAACTCCAATGATCGCAGTCTTAAAGTCGCCGGAGCACTTGCTCGAATGGAGACCAGAGGATCGGTAACAAGAACCACTTGCATTCCAGCCGCCAGAGCAGCCTCCATACCGACTAATGAAGACTCGAAAACCAAACACTTTCTGGGCTCAGGAGAGTCCTTGAAACGTGAGGCGGTGGTAAGGAAAATGTCCGGAGCGGGTTTCGCCGCTTTGACCTCCTCGTCGGAACCACTCAAAACCACATGATGGAAGACATCGAAGAGCTTTGAGTGCCGTCGTGTCTTGATCCTAAACGAGTCCCGACAGCTGCCACTTCCAATTGCCATCGGGATATGGAACTCATTGAGATGATTCAGGAGACGCTCCACACCCGGCAATAATCTTATGAAACCCAATTTACTGCGGCACTCGAGCTCCTGCTGATTCTCAAACTCTGTTAAACTGATGGGAAGATTAAGGGTCTTTACTATAAGGGCCGCCTGTTCAGATTCAGGTTTTCCCATGCACCTCATCTTCAGATCGAAGCCATAGGTATGACCATAGGGATCCAAGATCTTCTGGACAGTTTCAGCTCTTAAACGTTCGCTGTCTATCAGCAAGCCATCCAACTCGAAAATGCAATGGGTTACTGGCTGAAAAGAGCAACGCCTTAAGACCTGCTCTTTCAACCTGATCTTCCTCTGACATTTTTGTAGCCTTTAATTTTAGATTTATTTTTTGTTTTTTAAATCTAAAAAATACATATGTTGAGAGATGAATTTAGAGTGCTAGGGATGTTAGCCAAACTCGAATTTGGAGCAGCTGTCAAAGGGTGGCAGTCCAAATAGCTCGGGCTTGAAGTTCGCCATCGATTTGAGTACCAAAGTGGCACCCGTCTTTTGCTGTTTGGTAACATGTGCCGGGGGTATAAAGACCACTTGAGACCCAGCTGATTTCCCACCCATTAGACCAACTGGAGCATCTTCGAATATAAGGCACTTTTTTGGATCCGCAGGCGGATTGAATCGCGAGGCGGCTAGAAGGAAGATATCCGGATGTGGTTTTCCTCTACCCTTCCTCAATTCCGGATCATCGCCACAGACAACATGATGGAAAGCCATAATGATATCGTTGAATGACTTGGCCTTCATTCTAAACAATTCCTTAGAGGAACTTGTTGCTATACAAAAGGGTATCCGATATTCGTGCAAGTGCAGAACTAAATCCCTGACACCTGGAAGTAGACAAATTTTTCCCATATTTTTCATAGCTGTTGCCTCGAACAGTTCCTGGAAAGCCTTTGGTTTAATCGGAAGATTTAACTGCTTGACGATATGATGAGCAAATTCATTTGTTGGCATTCCCATATGCATCGCCTGATCGGCTTTACTATATGTTTTTCCAAATGGAGATAAACACTCTTGAGCGGCTTCTAAGTATGCGCTTTCGCTATCTGAAAAGTGGTAAGGGAGATGTCTAAATGTTTTCCATACTAAAAGATCATGAATTTAATCAATGGGTATCAAGCAGGTCACCCTGAATAAAGTAGAGAATATACCTATCAAGGTTCCATCGCAATCAAAGATGACATGGGTGACTGGGCAGTAACACTTCTTTGGAGGCATTTTTAATATATTCTAATTAGTAGGTCCCTGGGCGGCTTTTTCATCTCACAACATACTGTTTAATTTAGTTGGTTAATTTTGGCTAAAAAAAGGAGATTTACTAATCGAAAGTTAGGACCTTAAATTTGTTTCCGAATTATAGTTTTTGTTTTACGAATTTTGACGTACTAAGAAAAGAATTTCATGATGAAAACGAGAACTTTCAAAGCTTTTCTAAACCTTCTTTAATTTAATTAAAAATTTTTAACTTTTCATAAACATAAGAAGCCAGAAACTATAAAAGCACAAAAGTTGCAGCTGTTTGCAGCTTTTCTAGAGTTAGGGGCCTTCGTGTCTGGTTGTCATTTTCATGTCGCCAGTTGGGGATAGTTGCACTTTTATACATTTAACTAAGTCTAATGCATGCGGCGCACGCTTTTTGGCCAAGATCCCGCTGCCGTTCGCATGTTGTTACAAAGTTGCGTAATTGATTAAGCAGTTGGCAGCCAAGCCGCAGGAGACGTTCTCAGGAACGCGTCGCCGAAACTTTGACTTTGGCCAATACGTGCCACAAAATTGGGGTTTGGGTGGGTGGATGGTGCATGCAGCCTGTGATTCAAAAGTTTCTGTGGTGGGCCGAGTGGGTGTTGGTGGTGGAGGGGGTCAAAGGTGAACGCGTCGCGATGCTTGATTTCGGTACGGACTTAATAGCCAAACGAACCTGGGCCATAGGAAACGTGTTAAAGAGAATGTTTGCGCATTTTGACAACTTTGAGAGTTGGCTGACAATGGAAATTTACGATATTCAGGGATAAATGTTAGCTTTTGTTGTTCTTTTATTAATAAAAATCTAAAATCATAATTATATCTATAAAATTATGGATATAATCTAAAAAATATCACTTTATCTTGCATTTTATCATTTAAAGAGATTTTAAAATAAAATAAGGACTTCATTTCTTCAGATTCCTGACCATTTATCCCTCTAACCACATTGTCTATCCAACGAAGTGGTCAATTTTATTACCTTTTATTGGCAACGTTGCTTCAGTTGCAATGAAAACCATTGACCGTAACGCATTAATGTCCTGTGGCCGCCAAAATCGAACCAGAAGTTGGTTCAATGGCTAACTGGTTCGCTGAGCTTGCATATTTTATGACCAAGTCCAACTTTAATTGGAACAATACCAATAAATGCCAAATGCAGATGGCCCAAAGGGCGAGCCAAAAAGTTTGATGTGCATTGACCGGGATATCGAAGGACTGGGAACCGCCAAACCAAAACCAAATCGCAGTCCGCAACGGTGGAAATCAGCTCAAGGGGACACATCCACATTCACATTCACACTCACATTCGAATTCGCGTTCACACAAAGAGCCACAAGGACCGCAAGGATAACAACGGCTTTTGGGCGCTGCCGCTGCAAGTTTGCGGTTTTTAGGGATCTGAAATGCAGGCTGGACAGACAAGCAGACCAGTTAACAATTCAATGAACGCAATTACAGCGCCCAGATTTCAGGTGGCAGGTGGTGGAGTGTCCTCGTTGCCAGGACAGCGATTAGAGACGCGTTCAAATTAAACGTTTACAACATATTGTTGTTGGCCAGCCAAGTGGGAATTCCCCCTTGCCAAGCCAAAAAAAAAACGAACAAATGAATACTTTTAAGCTAAAAGTCGAGACCATTAAATACTCTTTACATTGCATACTTTTGGGCGTCATTTAAATTATTCAAGGAAATATTCAATTTATATTTTTATTAAATACCTAAAGACTTCTAGACTTTCTAACTACCCAAGCCCGACATATTCTTTAACTAATAGCCTGAATAAAATAAAAGGTAAAGAACCATAAATTCTGGGATACCCAAAATGGTTGGCTGCATAATTTATGCACACAATTCGTCGCTGCATCTGTCCTGCTCTGGAGTCCTGTTCCCATTTGGTTGCCACAACAGCTGACGCACAGCATTCGGGAAAATGTCCGTCCTTCAGGCTAACCGTCCGATTAATTAAAAGGCATTTTATTGACAGGCAGGTGGAGGAGGTAGTTAAATGGTCGACGTATGTGGAATGGGCCACTTTTATCGCCAGTACCTTTGGTGCCTTGCTGACAGCAAATTGCTTTAGCTGATTTGGCACTTTCTGTTGAGTCAATGAGAAATGAAATGCGGTTGAATGGGCTTCGAGCAGGAAAGGGAAAGGTGTAAAATGGAGTAAATACAAAGTAAAGTCAATTTCAGGGGATAAAAAAAGGGGTTTTAATGGGGAAAATGCTGTATCAGAAGTGAATATCGTAAAACATTTCTTGATAAAAGTTTCAGTAAGTAAAATTGATTTAACTTAAACTTTAAAAGCAGGGCATGGATATATAGAAAAAAACATCTTAAAGATTAATCCATTACATCTTCAAAAACTTCAAAAACCTCAAAAGACCGAAGGAGCAAACCCTTGGGCCGCCACAAGGAATACCAAATTGAATAAATAGTATACGATATAATCTCCAAAGAGTAACCCAATAGCTGGAGGGCAAGCCACAAAAACTGCAAGCCGGAACCATCCTTTGGCACTCAATAAATGTTATCCATCTATGTGCAGAGCAGGCTCAAATGTCAGTCACATATTCCTTCAATCATCACGAACTTCGCCCGAACGATTTCCCAAAGGGTCTTCTTCTCCAATGCAACAAAGTCCAGGATGGGACAGGGCATTGAGGGGAGGAGGTTATAAAACATGGGCACAAAGTCCAATTTGTTTGTAATGGCATTACTTTGTTTACAAAACAAATTTTGTATGCATAGCGAGTAGTCGTCGTTGGTAGAAAAGAGGTGAGTTGGTTGGGGACTCCTATTCCGATGCCGATGCCGATGCCGAATCCGAGTCCTCGACCCTTGCAACAAAACGCTGCAAACCCCAAACTCGAAATGCCGCGGGTGCTGTCGCAGACTAGAGAAACTGAAAAACAAAAATAGTAAGGCGGGCAAATAAAATATATAGACATAGATATATATATATATATATATTTGTACAGCTTCTAAAAATCGTTGTACCATAAAATTTCCCCAATGGACGCTCTAGAGTTTTTGGTAAGCAAGGACTCTCTATGCTGCCTTTTCGCTGTTTAATTTTACAATTGTCCTTTTTCTTTATTCCTGCCCAGGGAATGAGATGAGTGTGGGTGGGTGTGGGTCAGGTTTATCTATGCGCATCCGTTCCAAGTGCGGTTTTGTGATTTATGCTTGTTTCTGTTGGCCAACATTTGTTTTCCTTACGAAGGCCGAGCAAATAAAGGATATGCTTTGCAGTACTTTTATTACATTTGTTATGAATTTAACTTAATAAACCACAAATAACATAAAATAGAAAACTCTAATCAACTTATAAATGGTAATTAAGGCATTTTATATTCCCAAATCAATTGGTTAGGCTGATATTAGTTTGTGTTTTATATTTCATTTTTTAAGTTAAAACAAAGCTAAAAATATTTAAGTATCTGGAGGACACGACTCCTGGGGCACTTTGCTCATGTCACTTATAACGAGGCCAGCCTGTTTGGCATAATACTGAGCCATATACACAACATCTGTACTGGGCAAACGTTTTCGGGTTTGGATGGCAGCCCAATCTTTAAAAGAAAACCCATCTTACTTAAGAACTTTCTTAAGTTATTATAAACATAAACAAAACTTACGAAAACTGAAAATATGGCTGGCATCAAAGCACATAAATCGTATGGCAAAGGTAGTATAGTCAGTGTCCAGAACATAAAGCAGAACTCCCTCAGGAAAAGCTAAAAATTAAAATATTAATTAAGTTTAATATTATCAAAATTACATATTAAGTTACCTGCATTCTTTGTGCCCAAAATATACCTTCCAAAGTTTGACTCTACTTTCAAAATTTGTGCCTTTCTCACCCTTACTGTATCAGTTCTATTAAAGATATATTTTTAAATTAGTTTTAAATAAATATTATTTACTTACTGGCCACTGAGTTCGCGGGCCTTAACTCGGTATTTATGTTCGTCATCTCGTATGAATTCCGTCGACTGACATCTTGCTATTTTCGATGAGACAGGTGGATATATGGAGTGGGTGTACCATTTTCCTATAAAGCGATCCATATCGAAGTCCCCCACAGCCGTCATGTTGACGGGACAGGCTCCGTGAAAAGCCTTCATTGCCAATGAGAATTGGATGTCAATGAGGGCAAAGCTGATTTGGGGTTAAAGAGTTTTTTAATGATTTTTTAAGATTTAAATAAAGTACTCACATGAAGAACTTCCAGTTGATCATTCTGTTAAAAGGCAAAAGTAAAAATGAGAACAAAATCGGTTGGCTTAGCTTATTTAAATCAAATGGAAATGGTTTAGCAAAGACTAATCAAGATTTTATGGTGTATATTTGAAGCAAGATGTGTGTGAGAAAGAAAGTGGAACCAAAACATTGTTTTTATTCCACAATTACACCTCAAAAAAGTAGTCAAAAAATATATTAAAAATCTTTTCTATTAAATCTCATCACTTTAAAACTTCATCGATTAAATCGTTTTATTGCTCGAAATAACAACTAGTTAAAATTTAAACATCAATGAACATCTAACTATCGATCGAAATACATATGTACACTGGAAAAAACCAAACTCTTAGTAACTTAAGAAATTCATAAATATGTCGTAGAGACGCTCATAGAAGCGTCGCAGCCATTCTCATGCCTTTTCGATGGCATTTGGCACCACAGTGGTCACAAAGTCATCCACATCGAGGTCATCGTCTCCGGTTAGCTCAGTGGCATTTCCCTCCAACTGGGGACACTTCTTCTGAAGGGTATCGATGAGGAAGGCCTGGTTTATCTTATTCTCATCTAAGACACTCTTGGCCTTATCAACTGTCTCCGTTGAAGGTTCACGCTCACGAGTCAAGATCCAAACGACTTCTAAAAATTACAAAATTAATTATCATTCTGCCTGAAATGGTTGTCATTCCATGTCAGTTATGACACAGTTTGCATATTAACATTTCAAGTAGTAGACTTCCTCATTAACTTACTCAAATTTGCCCAGGGTGTTACACTAGTGCAGCTGTAGACTACGGCATATGATTCATAATCGGTGCCCAGCACAATGTAGTTGGCCGTCGTTAATGACTCTGAAAAGTTGATGAAAAATAATTTAAAATGTCCAACAGACTACTTTAAGTTTGTAATAACTCACGGCCTGGATAGAATGCCACAGCCAGTTGGCCAGGTCCAAGAACCTTGGCCTGTCCAGTTACATTCGAGGGTGTTCCAGTGCTGTTTGGTTTAAATTTGATTAAACAAATTAATTAAACTCAATTTGTTTTCAAACTTACAATCGGTTGATAGCCGCATTGACCACAGAAACAGTGCTATTGTCAATGATACTGTAGTTGGCGTAGATGCATTTCTTACCGACTTCAAAGGCAAAGGGGTACTTGGAGTACTCATACCAGACACCCATGTACTAAAGACAGATAATTATTAATTAGTTTATGTAATTTTCAATAACAATGTTATGTTAATACGTTTATTTAAACACGTGTTCTGACTGAAGTATTTACTTAATCAGAAACTTCTCGAAATAAAAACTAATAAGCCCTTTACTTTGGATAAGATAATAAAAAGTTTGCTAATTAGAAAAAGGAGGTTTATCAACGGAGGTTTTACATTGTTGCAAAAAGAAATATTTTTTAATAACAACAAAACAGTTTTATCAATTGTATAATTTCCCTTCATCATCGTGATTTTACTGGGCACTATAGACATAATATAATGTTGGTTTATTTACTCGGAAAGGGTATATAGATAAAGTTGTTTTCGCTTGATCGTGTTATAAGATATGTAGAATGGTGTCTTGAATCAGAAAAACAAGGCCAAAGCTCTTTTCCATATCATGATTCCAGATATGATAACCTACTCAATGGGACTAGAATTTTCTTAGCTACCCAGATAAGATTTTTCAAAAATATTAATCATTAACTATCAAGATAGTCTGGGTCAATGAAACTAGAATTTTCTTAGCTATCAAGATAAGATTTTTGACAAATATAAACCACATGATTAATATATGATTACCTACTCGTGGAAACTAGAATTTTCTTAGCTATCAAGATACGATTTTGAAAAAATAATAATCATTAACTATGAGTGACTAACATCAGACTGACTGATCATCAAAAGTTTAGACTCACCGCCTCCGCATCAAAGGTGTCTAGCAGCTTGACATCCGGACACTTGCCGGGAAATGGAACTTGGGCACTTATCATGCAAACTCCACTCGCGACCATCAAGATAGACAGCCACAAGTGCGAACTGAAACGATAATCGAGTGAGATGTAAATAGATTTAGTTTTGTTTATTATCTGGCGCGTACCTCGACTGATGAATCATTGTGGAATATAACTCGCTGATAAAGCGGCTCTTCGTTGAACTTAATTTCTGTTCTACTTCTGGCTTAGAACTGAGGTTCGACTGCAGATGCATTGTATCTTTTATACGCTTGATGAGAGAGCTTTGTTTTCGGCTTGCGGAGCTTTTTTCCTGTGCGCCGACGCGGATTGCCAATATAAACAAAAGTGAAATGCAGATGATCTAGATGGAAAGTTTGTTAGTGATTATTATAGTTTTGTGAAGGGAGGTGGGTAAAGATACCTCTGCCAATGCTCTCGTTACAGCCACTAAGCAAATATAGAATATATCCGATACTATTATTTACATCATTTTTATATGCACCTCACGATTTTTTCTATTGATAAGGGCTTCCGCATGCTAACAATCGCATTGCTAATTACAGAGATCATTGCGTGAATTAGTTCAATGTCCTGAGAATGGCAAAGCTAAGTGGATCGGACTATAGGTAGAGAGTATGAGAGGTGAATTTATAATTAGGTAAACAATAAGTATAAAATATACAAATAATATCAAGCGTACTTAAAATATCAAGCATGAAATTACTTCACAAACTAAGCACTTTAAATAGAATTAACACTATATTAAAGTTCACTAAATATTTTTTATATATTTTCATACTTTTTAAGGCTACGTTAAAGCAAAGTAAAGTTTCTTAGAGGCTCTCGCTACTATATATTTATCTTTAAAAAATATTAAAAAATTTTTTTTTTTTTTTTCACTTTTTCTTAATCCACATTACTTAACATTAATTAAGCATTTAATACATAACACTAAAAAACAACAACAAAAATCGTCATTTCTTAGCTTCCACCTTTTGAAAAGCTTTCCCCACCATGTGGATTGCATTGTTGGCGCCATCTTTCCACACGGCCACCAGCGCCATCTGTTGAGCGCTTTGCCTTTCGCTTGTCAAAATGAGGAATAATTTTCATTTATTTGAGATTTCTTCAGCTCTTAACCTTTATCTCGTTCTCAACCTGGTCAGGAAAACTGTTGACAGTGGCAGGATTTCTGCGGTTTTTTCTCTTTTTCCAGTTGGCAGGGAGAGAAATTACATTTCCACCCATATATTATTAAATTAATTAAATGTAAACCACAAATTGAGTTAAATGTGCAAAAATGCCCGCAGGGCGAACGCTGAAGCGTCTGTGTGGATGAAGGGGTTTTTGAGGGGGGAAAAAGAGGTATTTCAGGTGATATATGTTTGAGCAAGGGTGGATCAATAAGTTGGTATTTTTAGAGTTAATAAACTTGGAAACTAAAACTAATCTTCAAAGGCTACAAATAAAGTTATGGCTATGAAGAAACATCTTGTCTGAGACTTACTTATAGATGATCCTTTGGTTAAACTTTTCACTCCACCCTCGTTCATTCTCTCATATTTTTATACATATGCGGCTAGCGCAGATTTTGAATGGCCAGCCAACTATTTGGGTATGGGAATTTATAGCGCATTTCCCCCCACCTGAAAGGATTGCGGGCTTGCCCCATTCGGCTGGATGGATGGATGGATGGATGGCCTCTGCTTGGATTTGCTGTGGCTGCCACTGTTTGTTGCATGGCAGCGTGTAGTAATTAAATTTAAAATATGTACACATTTGCCGGACATCTGAGCTTAAAAACAGGTGCAATCCTTGAGGGCTGGCCGATGGAGTGGGTTTTCCAGGGACAATTTGATCAAAGGCAACCGTAAGCCTGCAGCTGGGAGTGGACAGATGAGAGCTGGTTATTACAGGCCATAAGTGCAGTCTTCTGGCCATATCCATGGCTAAAAGCAGAGGTGTATTAAGGAAATATTCTTAAAGGGGGTATCTTCTATTAGTTTAAAAGATTTTTGAATTAAACTTAAATTTTGTTAAATTGTAAAATTATTTGTGTTTGGTGGTTAATATTTTCCTTCTTTGGTCCCCATTGGAAGCTGTCACTGTGTGGTGCATATGTGCGGTTCAAAGTGCATTGACAATTGGCAATGAGTTCGTGATGAAAGATTTTTAAAGATATTTAATTACTTTTATAAAGTTTTTCTTATACAAAAAATTCATTACGAAAACTAAAACTCAAAAAACTGTCATAAGAAAAGTTATACAAAATTTGGAACTTATAAGACTTCTAAAAAGCATTTAGTTCCAAGAACCACTTTTTTAAACATTAAATTTAACAATATATTTTAACAAAACCCAGAGATCGTGTCACGATTTCATCTCGATTAACCCATGCCCACAATTCAATCACTTTGCCATTTTAAGTGCTCGAATATTTTGTGGTTATTCATTCGCTTTATGGGCATTTTGTCGAATGTAATTTGATTTAAACAGAATTTTACCAGATATATAAAAATCACTGCCGTGCCACAGGATATGGCGATATATATAGAGCCTGCGTGTGGCCATTTAATTAAGTGGCTACCTTTAAAGCCAGCCGCCGAAATTGAATTAATTTTGATTATTGTTGCAGTTCAGCTGGGCTTTTGGATTTTCCAACTGCTGCAATCAACAGTTGACATAAAAAAGGACTCCCAATCCCCTTCAGAGCGATGGAGCAGGGGATCATACTAAACTGTCGGCTAAATAACATCCAGACGAGGACAGCTGGAGCAGTAACATCAAGTGGGTGGAGACACACTCCGGCGACCTTTAACCCGAGCGTGGGAGTTGCGAAAAGTAAAGGGAGGGCGAGGGTGGAGGAGCTCCGCAGAATGCGTGGGAATTGCAAAACATGACGCAATTTGTGCTCGCTTTTGTTGCTTGTCCCTTTTGCATGCCATTCTCCCAGGATATTACCAACTGCTCGTGTTCTCCTGCACACGCAATGGGCCATAGATTAGGTTGGTTACAGGGGCCTGAGAGGTACTTGGAAAGCACTGCCATTAAACAGAGATATGGCCAAGAACTTTGGGAAAAACAAGAAAAAAATAACTGCACAGCTAGGCTAGTTGGAAAAAGAACTTAAAAGGAATAATTGATTTGGAAGTAAAAATGAAGTCCCAAGAATTCTGAAACGTTGTTCTGCTTTTTTAGGTTCTGAATCAGTAACTTATCAAGTCATTTTACTTTGATAAGCAATCAATTTGGTATAAGAAACATATTTCCATTTAATATCTAATGTAAATTAATATCCCATCATAGAGACACCATTGAAGAGACACTCCTTTTCATTTCAACAAATAGCCTCATACTTAACTCTTCCTTTTCAATCTTCTACTTGGAATTTGTTCAAAAAATTCTCAGGGATATTTTTATATCCAACATAACACCCACCTGATCACCTGCCACCCCATAAAACCAAGCCATTCGCACAGCCATATCCGAACTTCTTTTACCTTATTTTGATGTTGCAATCTTGGACAAATTTATTTATTTAGCACATTGTTTTTCGCATCGCTCCTGTGGGCATCAGTTGTTCCCCCAGACTAGGAACAAAAAAAAAAATGGGGAAAACGCGAAAAAGTCTGGCACACAAGAAAGCTAACATTAAGAACAATAACAATAACAACTAGTGGCAGACAACAAAGGAAAGGGGAAGGGTGGCCAAAGGGAAAAAAAGGACCAACCAACTCTCAAAAGTATTTTGATTTGTGAAATGCTCGTAAGTATTGTCGTTTTTGGCGCTGGCGCTGGTAGCAATTTCTTAAATTTTTTATAGCGCATAACCTGTCTGGCACACATGTGCACAGAAGCCCCTCCCAGCCAAGCCCCATCCACTCAACCACCCACAAACGCAGTTTGCTGGAAGGCTCAAAGTCGCAGGACGAAGACATTGGGCGCTTGTTGGCAACGCTTATTGCATTATCCTCGGCTAGAGTCAGTCAGCCCGGGATAGATGTCGGCCGATGCGGTGGCCAGGGGGTATCCAAGTGTTCGCGAAGATATATCCGCGCCAACTGCCGCAGCTGATGCCACTTTTGGCTCGTGGCAGCCGCGAGCTGTTTGCCTGTTTGTTGTTATCCTGGTTATGGCTGGAGCCAAGGAGCCAACCAGCGAGCAAAATCATATTCTCTCGAGGATATAACGAATACTTTATACACTCCGCGGGGAGATCGGCCAGATTAAAGACCTGTGGGATAATGTTTATATTGCTGTTTAAGGAATGGAAAATATTAGCTTATTAAGTCAAAGTGCAAGAACAAAAGTTAAAGGTCTTTCTAGTTAAGCTTTTAAGCTAACAAGTATTCTTAATAGAAACCATTATATTAAACCAGGTTAATCAAAATGTTGACCTAATATTTAATATGGCCTTTAGGTTCTTTACTTATTTCTTTTATTACTAAGCTTTCATTACTCTAAGTAATTTATTTAGTTCTTTAAAATTTATAGTACTTTCATCGATATCATATGCCCAACCAAAAATGAAAGGAATTATGAAAATTGGCACGACTTCAGCTGGGCCCCGATGTCTTCTGCCACCCACACCCTCACACACAAAACTACACCTCACACTCATCACACCCCCCGGAACCCCCTTTCTTTATTCTCCCCCTAAATGCTTAGCGAGAAATGTTAATACCGAAAAAAGCGAACCATTTGCCGCAATGAAAATCGCGTAAATTTCATACTGATTGTAAGTGTCGCCGTTTTCTTGACGTTGCCATGAAGGCAAAAGCTAGACGGACAATGCACTGGAAAAAATATAAATTAATCAAGAGGTGAAGATAATACATTAAGGTAAAACGATTACGATTATTCCAAATTGATAATTGCAATGGAAAATAGCTCAACGCATCCTTTCCTTATATAAGATTAAACCATAAAGCGAGAGTTACTAGACCAGCATCTTAAAAGTTCAAGAACTTGTTACTTGTTTTCCCAAGTGCACCGAGAAGCTTTAAGAGATGTAGACGGAACTGCCATTGCCGTCTGTTTTCCCTCATCCCGCTCGGGCAACATCCCGATCTCCCTTCGACTTCCGTTTTGGAACTGTAACTCTGCTGTTGGCTGTCGCCTGCAGATTGTCAGCATTGTCACAATTGCAATTTTTAGGATGGCATGGGATCCGCTGATTTGGTTGCCATTTCACCATTTGAGCGTTTCAAACATTTTGCGGGCATTTACCATAAAGAGGGAAAGCAGAATCCCAATCGGAATCCGAGCCAAGAACGTCATTCGATTGCGTTAATAGCCGAGAGTGGCGACCAATGCCAGCTGCAAATCTTGCAAATTGCAAAAGTTTTCCTATGTATTTTTTTTTTGTTTTTAACTTCTTTCATTGTTGTTTTTATGGTTTATGTGAGAGTGTGTGTGTGTTGATGTGGTTTAGACATATGTAGTTGTCATCTTTTGTTTGAGAGTTTGACACTTTGATGTGGTAGTTGAGGTATATTCGACATTTTCCTGAATCAATTTGAAGGAAAATTTATATGAATTGGTCTTAAAATAACTTACTAACTCGGCAAAGGTACATAAGAATATTTATTTAAGTTCGTTTTTTGCTAACGGCAAATAGTTGAAGTAAATTCCCAATTACTATTTCTAATAAAATTCAAATAAATAAGGTAACTACATATCATACATACCTTCGTCTCCCATACGAAAACTGTCACCTTCACATTGTATGTTTTATTGATTTTGCCATTTGCTCACTTTGTTTTTCGATCATGTCCCTCGTCCTTGCAATCCTTATATTCGACTTCTGTCCAACTATGATTAAAAAATAATTTCGCAAAAATATTGAATCACGTCGCGTACTTGGCAGCTTGGCAGTCAAAGTGAACGTTTGCTGGAAGACGGATGGCGCTTTTTGATGGCCGAGAATCAAGTTTGTTTTTACGTGCCATCTAGTTGGGCAGCCTCCTTCCCACGGAGCGTGAAGGATCTGGGCCTGGGGTATGTCAAAGGTCGGTCGCAGCTGCTGCAAATGGCTGGTGCTTTGGCCAAATGAGAGCTCCTCTGTATAGCCCAATAGCTCCTCCACCACCGACCAAAACTCTCTTTTGGCTATGAGAAATCGCTCGTCATTATCGACGCCTGCGAAAATCCGCCAGCTCAGACACACACAAACCCACATGCGAAGGCGCCATAAATTATGTTACTTCCTATACGTATATATTTTCAGATATATACATATATAGACATCTGGAGCTGTGAAAAATCGTGCCCCAAAAACTTTGACCCAACCCCCAGGAAGTCGCAACTTATTGAAAATCACTTAGACACACATGTGACGCTCTCCTAGTTCGTGAGCATGAAAATGAAGCAGAAACCGAAGGAATTTCGGCTCTATAATTTATGTCCTGGGGTATTTTTGATTGCGGGGTGAGTGCGGGTGAAAGGTTAAACCACCGAAAGCACCTAGGAAAAGTTTACAAAACGGCGAACGAAGGTTACCCTAAAAATGCAAAGCCAAAGGATTGGCAAAATAATGCCCAAGCAGTGTCAAAAATCGGACAGATGAACAGTTGGAGATTCTAAGGGCTACTTAATAGACATGACCAACGGCTAAGACCGCCAGCATGTGACGACAAACTCATAATTTATGGCCACATCCCGGCCAGACGCCGAATGCTATCTCTTCCTGCTCAAGCCTGCTCTTCCTTCTGATGTAGTAGAATGTGTCCAGGATCTCAGTTTCGAGTTTCGGCCGGCATTTCGAGCCTGTCAGTGTCGTCTGTAATTGTTTTCCTAATGGAGGGGAGAACTGGACCCCAAAAACATGACCGCACTTAAGTTGTCAGCCCAGTTATGGGCGTGGACAAATTTATGGGGCCCAAGCAAGCCCAGATAATCGCCTTGGAAATGGTCGGTGGCAGTGGCAGTTGGCAGGGCAGCACCTCCTTCTGGCATCTCTTTGTGGATTAAAATGCAGCTTTGGGGTTACAGGATGTGACTTGTGAAATGCAACCTTGAATTTGCAAGTTCAAATTGTAAGTAGAACGCTAGATTTGGACTAACCTTGTTTTGACTAAGTGTGACCCTACACCATTTTTTTAAAAAAGGATTAAAAAGCCTTGAGTTTAATAAACTTTGCGAAATCGACTCATAGCTAAAATAAATCACAATAACATAGTTAATTAGAACTCTATTTTATTTGTATTTCTGTTTATTTTTCTTCATCTTAAAACACAATTAAAATTGATAAAGAAAGTCCAAATTCCCTCATTTGAAGGCTTTCAACAGTTAAGAGTGTGACCTTTCTTTACAGATTTCTTGTTAAGTTAAATTTGTTCACATTAATCTGAGCATAGCAAGAAATTTAAACTTTACTTCTTGTGAATAAATTAAAAAAAAACTAATTTAAAAAAGGCTTGATCTAAGTACACACTGAATCAAATTTTATTCAAACTCAAACTAAACATCATTACCATAAAATCTGAATATATTCAAAAGCTCATTAATATCATAAATCAAAAAGTAAAAGTCATGTTCCTCGACGACTTTGGATTCCCCTTGGAGGTGACTGCAGAAACTCTGAACAAGTATTCCTACGATCTGGTAAGAGGTTTGTTTATATAAATAATAAATATAAGTCATATTTGATTTTAGCATAATACAAAACTTCTGACCTCGGCGGATACTGAGTTCTATCTGCCCCCCAAATGGCATGGCACTATTTACAGCACTGAGGAGCTATTGTATTCCTACAGAAAGCGATATAATGTGAGTTATATTTATATATTTCCAATTATTAATCTAGTTAGTTTATCAGCCGGATCCCACTCTGCTGACCTTCCATGCCCTGCAACCCTATGAACCCGAGTTCATCTGCTGCCAGAATGCTGTGGTGGAGCTAACAGTCCTGCCGGCTGGCCAAAGCCTCTATAGTGATAAAGAAATCGTTGTTTTTCTGGTCAAGCAGCCAGCTGAAGACAGAAACACTCTAATTACAAAGGAACTGGGCACCCAACTAGATTTCTTTCCGCACAACCATCACTATCATGCCCGGATCTTGGACGAGGGCATTGATGTGGTCTATGTGGATGACAAGATCTATAAAACAGGTCCGCCCACCAGTTATCAGCATCAGCGTCTGTACAATTTGCTCAGAAATATCCAGCCGGGTGCCGTGTTGGGCCTTTCAGGGAATCCCTTGCCTGATATCCTCCGCACTGTTTGCAGGAAAACAGCTCATGGAGTAAAGATGCACAAATGAGGGGCACCTCTTCCTCTTCTTCCACGGATATAAAAGCCCTTCCTTCCAACATCATAGTCCGGTTTAATAAACTTTGTGACTTCAGAAAATTCGTCTAGCTCGCCGATTGTTTGCATATCTGATGGCGACGCATTAGTCGCAGTTGGTTGGGCCAACTGTCTGCGCTTTTCCTGTCTGCCAATTGATTTGATTATGCTCTAGCCGAGGAGGAAGTGAAAATCTGAAGGAGATTATGAGGTTTAAAAGGGCGTTTAGCTAATATTTTGTTAGCTTATTATTGTATTTAAATAGTTATTAAGCTTGTTGATGCTGAGCTTCCCCTTGAATTGTTTTAAATAGCTTCTTGCGAGTTAAATAATAATTGTATATTTATTTAGTATTATTAAAATATACCATCAACCAATAAAGATTCTCACTAAACCATTTGTAATGGATATAGTTTACCATGCAACTCCTCTCCCTCAGCCACTTGTCAATAAAAATATTTTTGGACTATGCAAACCCATCTTTGGCATAAACTTTTAAGTCTCCCCCTACGTTAGCCCTCCAGCACACATTAGTATTCATAACAAAATGTCATATATTATATTTTTGGGCGTACCATTGGCCAAATCCCTTTGGGCAACGCACTGCGTGACATCTTTGTTTGTGGTCTGACCTCCTGCTTGGCCAAAAAATAATCTCCCTCCCTTCTGTGTCCTTAGCAGTCCCCAAATTCCTCCTTTTTTGGATCCTTCGGCCTTTGGCTATTCGATGGCTTTGCAATCGCTTTACTCTTTTGTTTTGTGCCTGGAATATCTAATGGATGCGTGCAACTAATTGAGTTGCCTGCAAAAGGACTTTCGCTTTTCCTTCTTGAATTTGCAAATCCCTTTTCCGGAGTTAAATCGGTTTTGCTCTTGTTCCTGGTACGGCATTTTCTGGGAGTTCTCAGTACTTAATGAAGCGGATGTGAGGATTTTGTAGAAGGCACAAACAAATTTTACGCAAATCAAAAAGTTAAACATTCCGGCGAAAAGTTTTCAGCGAGAGTTGGTTGAGAAATTTTGGAATATCTTTAATGGTGATTTGATATTACATATACTTTCTTTGTAAGTTTACATTAAAAATATATTTAGAAAAATATATAATTTAGGGGGTAAACTTTAGTTTAACCTATTCTAGCCACATTTTCCCTTTGACAAACTTGCTAATCCACCTCTTTGACAATACCAATTTAGGCCAAATACTTGCCTTTTCTGGGAAATAGTTGTCTCTGCTGTTGAAGATTTGCCCATGTCATTTCGAATTTCCCTTTTTCCAACCATGAGAGCAACCTGTTACCCCGCACCTGTTCAATAATTGATGTAAATCTGTCACCACTGTGAAGTGCCACACTCTTTGTTGCCATTCCAATTTCTCCTGCTGGTGTTGAGTACCTTGTTGATCCTTTTTTCCCTGTTCCCGTTGTTGTTTCAAACCTGCAACTTGTTCACAACTTTTGATGGCTCTTGCAGGAAAACAAAAAAACCAGCACCATGGAAACTTCACAGCTGTTGGATGAAGAAGATGGGTGGGGGACTTTTAACCTAGAAACCGGGATGCAGAAGCCTATGGACAGGCTGAAAGTTATGTATAAGCTCTCGGGGAATGATAAATAGCCGGGCTCAAGTGGCCACCTTGGCAAGGAGCGACCTGCAGGCCAAACGAGCTTCTCACCTTTTAGCCTTATGCAAAAGGGAAAAAGACGTAGGAAATCCAAGGGAAAATGGAGGTGGAAGAACTGCTATGGATAAGCCAGAAAACGTAATGAAAATGAGATGAAAATTATTGCAACGTAAATCAGGCGCTCCTTAGGCGCCCAGCTGGGAATATCCTTGGAGATTCTTACTCCTGGTTATCCAACTCCCCAACCCCATCCACCGATTATTTCTTTCCCCCATCTGGCTAAACGTTTTCCACTGCTTAATTTGGCTTTCATTGCTTCGGATTCGGATTCGGTTCGTTTCTTGCCGTTTTTTCCCTCCATTTTCCGAATTCGGTGCGGCCTGACATGAATTATTTAACGATCTCCAGCTGCGTTGATGCGATTTTCGCCCAGGATGCCTCTAAATTAAAGCCATAACAAGCTTAATGCAAAGACAACCGCAAAGGAGAGATAGAGTATATCAGGAAGGCAGCAACAAAAAATCCTTCATTTAAAGCAACAATGTGTGGGTCAGAACAATAAGCGAATCCATTTCCCTCAGGGATTCCTTTTCTGCACATGCAAGGACTTAACTCTTTGTGCCGACGTCGACTTTCCAATTTCAAGTGAAAAATCCCGCGAATGAACATGTAAACAACACACTAGGTGGACCAATGAAAGCCGAAAAAGGGGCGCAGAACGGCAGTCAAGAGGGAATGGCAGGGAAAAACAAAAGAAAAATCCCGAAATGCAAAGAAAAATCAACTAAGAATGATTGCGGTGACTGTGGTTGGTAGTCGAATGGAAATTTTCCTATATGAAGGGGTTTATAAAAGTAACCAATCTACACTTTTTAATAATCTAGACTAAAAAACTCATATTTAACATTCATTAAAACAAATTTTCTTTTTTAATTTACTCTTTAACATTAAAATATGTTTATAGTAATCTGCTTTCGTGCAAATCGTAAATAAAATAATACAAAAATTTGCATTTTATTAAGTTTATTTTTCTCTCTAATCCAATATTCCCTTTCGTACTGAAAAATAAACTTTCCCTGATGTGATACAGGGCTAAAACCCAAATGAAAACTGCTCGGCGGGAGGTCAAGCGGAGTATCTCTATCTGCAAACTGCAATGGCCGAAATGTATCTGTATCTGCAGAGTGCCAATGTGTCTGGGTTTTGTGGATATGAAACAGTTTGCAACAAACTCGTGCATTTTCAGGGCGCAAAATCCTAAAACCAAATAAAATGCGCTCTGCAGTTGAACCCACTTGAAATATATATATATATTTTTTGGCAATGAAAATTTTCAACCTCCCCCTTCCCCCTCCACAAAGCCAGAAAAAAAAAGAAGTCCAAAAAACTTGTTATAATAAATGGAATGAAGCGCCAACGCGTTGAGCTGCACGAAAATGTTGCAACGGCGGCAGCATGGCAGCAACAAAATGCAGCCAAAGCTTCCTTCCCAGATAATCCCTGGGAAATTTGTCTAACTTCCACACCCCTCAAACCCCCCCTTTAAGGCTGATGAATGACGCCGCTGCTGTGCAAATTATAATAGCAATTTGCATTATGTGGGTGGCCCGCCCTTGGCCCCCACAAAAAAAAAAACTACTAACTCCCCCAATGCGTGCACCTCCTTTTATGAGGCGGATTAAGCGGGGCACATTGTTGCCAGCTGCGTGGCGAATGAAATTTTAGATTGCCGCCGAGTTAGTTATGGCGGTTAAGTGGGAGAATATATTTGGCTGCCGGTGGGTTAATCACTGGCTAGTTGTTAGGGATTTGTGAAGCATTCATTGTCAAGGATTTAAAGTGGATTTAATGGGGAAATGTTCATGGTTTTTACATTAATTAGAACTATGAAGTTTCAGAAGTTTCTTCTGCAATTTGCCAGAAAAAAATAGGCCATATCATCTTCTCTAAAAGTGACTCTAAAATTCGACTTAAAAACAAATCATTCCCCTATCCTAACAACATTGCTGACATCATCAGCTTTGCTAATGTTTTCCCCCATAAAAATATCCTCACATTCTAACAATCATCTAATTGAAAACGAGATGAGATCAACCGTACTATAGCCCACACCCAAAATCCATTCAATACTAGAACTTGGAACCAATTCCACCCCGTGCAGAAATAATTGCAAATACATAAATAAATTGATGGTGGATTTGGATGGTGTGTGTGTGTTGGCGGGGCTTTAAAGCATAATAAATTTTGAATGCGCCATTAGCATGATTTATGCCCATTTAATTTTTCATAACAATGAAAAAAGCACAACAAGGACGCTGGATGACAAACAGGACAACAGGCCGGCATTAGCAGGACAATAGCCGTAGAGCAGGAAGTTACGAAGGGAACTCTGCTCTCATCATCATCATAAACAAGAGTGCATAAAAAATGCTTGCGAATGAGGCGACAAGCGGCAACATAATTGAATAGTAAAAGCGTTGCACTGAAATTAACCACCACAAAATGACGCAAATAATGTTTAAAAGGCAGCTGGGTAGGGGGGTTGGTCACTGCCATGAACGGACGATTAAATTTCATTGAAATTGAATTACATTAAAAAAAAAAAAACAGAGAGAAAATAAAGGAAGCCGTGGAGCAAAGTGCAAAAGGCAAACGTTTCACTCAGGGCGCAGGGTCCTGCAGGACAATAGTGCACAAATTAACTTACAAAAGCTAAATAAAAATTGCCAACGCGGCAGTCAACGTGTTGTGTGAATGGGATGCTATGTATATAATATATACTATATATCCTGACTGGACGCATTTTCCTTTCATCCTCTGGCCATCTGCCGTAATTTCACTCCCAGTCTTTCTCCTTTGCCCTCTGCAGTTTATGCGAGTTTGGGCCTTTGGCTTGTTTATGCCAAGTTCTTATCGCGCTCATTGTCATCCCACCGAGCAAACAAAATAAGCGAGCCCGAAAACGAGTTGCTTATAAAGTAATTTGCGGATTTATTAAAACTTTGCAGAGCGCCTTCAGACGCACTCTTTGCCGGGAAAAGGCTCTTTTCTTTTCGGCTCGCCAGAAACTGCGGCCAATTAGTTTGCCTAATTCCTGAGGTGAAACACAAAACGCTTTAATTGAATTCTGCGGTTCTTGGCTGGCTGAGGGCGCAAACCGTTTGAGGGATATTTAATCAGTTAAAGAAGTTTCAAAGGTTTAAGGTTTTAATATGAACAATACGACTAACTAAGATCACTTTGTATGTAGGGGTATATTAATATATAATATTTTATAAATAAAAACACCCTTTAAGGCCCTCTAACTTCATTTTTTGCTTTCCCAAATATATGATTTAAATATTATCCCAACAGATGTTCCATTTTTTCTGTGGGTGGGTTAACTTAACTTCCTTTGTACGAGTTTTCCTCGCCAAAATAAATCAGAAAAGGGGACTCATCACCACACGACAAAACAGCAGCAGCAACATAAATCCACTTGACGCAGCGAGACCCCAACTTCAGAATCTTCTCCACTCCACCTCGCAGCGGGCCAACCGAGTGGGTGAGATTTATGAAACAGTCAAGTATTTTCTATTTAAGTTAATAACAATCATAATAATGGCAACGGGAAAATTGATGCAGCTCGAGGCAGTGGGAGAACGTACGCAAGGAAGCGAGGAAGGAAGGA